TGTTAAATCATTTTCAGTTACTGAGTTTAGTGCTAGAGTTTATTAATTTAGGTAAAAATTTCAATAATTTGAATTCGGATGGGTTTCTTTCGAATTTATTCAATCAAAAGTTTGCATTTTTTCTGGTGATTTGTTGAACCTTTCATTTTATGGAGTGATTATATGTTGAAGTGATAAACAATCTTTTGGTAGCTTTGGCCATATGGGATTGGTCTGGTGTTCATCTCCACTCGGAAGAGCTGGAGGTTTGGGCAGGCTTTTCTTTGGGGTTCTGTGGTATTTAGAAGCAGGGTTTTTGGACTTAATCAAAGGATTCTCTGCAAGTGGATTTGATGTTTAGTTTATTTCATTGAGGGGTTTTAGATGTATATGAATCCAGAAGATTTGTGCATAAAAATATAATGAATTGCAGTTTGAAAAAATGGCTCATATTTCAATTTTCCTATGAAGGTTGTCAATGATGCAGAGGGTGCGGGTATCGTCTCATCAATTTCCTTTCCATAGATTAGGGGATTCCCAAATGGCGGTTTCCCCAAAATTTAGAATAGACTCAACATGTTCTTCTCTGAAAGGTCCTTCTATGGACACTGAATTGGCTCTCAGAGGAGACCCTCTGATTCCAGGACTACCCGATGATGTGGCACTCAATTGCCTCCTCCGGGTACCCGTTAAAAACCATGACGCGTGCAGGGAAGTGTGTAAGCGCTGGTATTTGCTTTTTGGGTATAAAGAATGGTTCTTTTCAAGAAGAAAGGAGCTTTCTTTCTTGGATCCATGGCTATTTGTATCAGTCTTTGACAAAAGTTCTGGGAAAATAGAGTGGAAGGTGTTTGATCTGACCAACTTCACCTGGCACACGATTCCGGCGATGCCTTGCGCTGTCAAGGTCTGTCCCCATGGGTTCAGGTGTGTGGCTTTGCCACACGAAGGGGTTTTGTTCGTCTGTGGTGGGTCCTTTGCAGAAATGGATTGCCCTATTAATGTGGTCTTGAAGTTTGAAGTGCAGAGTAACCGGTGGACAGTGATGAAGAGTATGATCACGCCAAGATCATTTTTTGCCTGCGGGCTAATTAACGGGATGGTTTATGTCGCGGGAGGGAACAGTACGGATCTTTTTGAGCTCGGGTCGGGCGAGGTCTTGGATCCGAAGAATGAGACTTGGCGTCCCATTGCAAACATGAGAGCAACTATGGCTTCCTACGATGCTGCAGTTCTTGATGGGAAGCTTCTGGTGACTGAAGGCTGGTTTTGGCCCTTCTATGTAGGGCCAAGGGGTCAAATATATGACCCAAGAACCGACCGTTGGGAGGGTATGTCCTCCGGACTCAGAGAGGGTTGGACCGGTTCGAGTGTCGTGATAGATGACAACTTATTTGTTGTTCCGGAACACGAAAGGGCAGGTGTCAAGGTTTATGACAAAGAAACTGACAGTTGGAAGAAAGTTTATGGACTTCCTTTGCCAGAGCAGATCAGAAAGCCATTTTGTGTCAATTGCTGTGAGAATAAGATTGTTGTTGTGGGTCGAAACCTGCAGGTCGCTTTGGGACACATCGCTCGACACGATAAAAGTGAAGAGTTTGAGTTTCGTGTTCAATGGCAAGTAATCGAATCGCCCAAACCTCTTTACCATTTGATGCCAACTTCTGCTCAGGTTTTGTTTGCGTAAGGTAAGGAGCCATTTTAGCTTTGATTCTGAACACAGTTTGGAAGGGTAGTTATGGCAATGTGTGCATTTTTCACCACAGTTTTTTTTTTAATTTATGGGTTTTTAAAGCTCTCTTGCATTTAATTAGTCTGAAAAGCTGCTTTAAAAAAAAACTAGTCTGAAAAGCTTTTTTTTCAGTTCAGCTTGGCTTCTGTTTCTTATGTTATGTGTAGATAGATATACAATATGTAAAATGAATTGGAACAGAAAATAGTGAAATGGTTTTCATCTTCAATTTCCACAACAAATTTTCAATGTCTTTTTTTTGCCATTCTTTTTCTATTTTGTCCTACCAGAGTCTTTAAACCCTATGTTAAAGAACAAATTCAACCGAAAAGCTTAAAGCTTCGAATTAAAGTATGGAGTAATGAATGTAAACATAAAGTATGTCTACATTAATTCGTTTTCCAATGTATATAGAAAGTCATAATAGTCAGTTATGTTACGTGTAAATTGTATTTCGACAGATTCTTGAACATGGCTCATTATATCTATATTAAGGAAAAAATGTTTGCAGTGTGTTTTTGTGAAGTAGAAATAAAGGATAATTATATTTTGTCTTCTTGTATTAGTTTTTTTTATTTGTTTTGAGTGTACCTAAGCAAATGGAAATCTCTGTCAATCATATCATTCCTAATTAAACACCTTTTAATATTTATTGCTGTTGTTGTTTATAATTTCATAGTTATTGTTAGCCATTTAAACACCTTTTAATATTAATTGATGTTGTCTATATTTACTCTCTGTGTCCTGAAATAAATGTCCTCGTTTGACTTTGAAATTTGAAAAAAGTGAAATTGTACGGTGGATGAAATAAATAAATTTTATAGTTGCATAAATAAATAAAAAAAAGTTCTATAGTTTGAAATTTGTTGAAAGAGAAATAATGTGAATCATTTTATCTTTTTCATTAAATAGAATGTGACATTTACTTTGGGACATCCAAATAAAAAAGATGTTGTCAATTGTAATCAACTTATAAACATACTGATATTTGTTTAAAGCATGTTTGGGAACAACATTAGAGATTAACATTAGCGTTTTGGATAAAATTTTAACAATGCAGATTACTTTGAAAATATTAACGCTAAATGCTGACGGTAGATAATATTTTCAAAACGTTAACGTTAATCGCTAACGTTATTCCCAAACAGATCCTTAACATATTAGCATAATACTAAGAGGGTGTTTAGGAGTGATTAACTTGTGGATAAAGTGATTTTCACAAAAGCTGAAAGCAAAAGCATCTCATACCTGCTTCTCCGAAACGGTGTTCTGTGTATAAAATAGTGGTGGTGAAAAGCAGAAGCTGACATGCCAAACAGAGTAAAATCACTTCCACTTAAAGCAGAAGCTAAATTATTAAAAGCAGTACACTGCCAAACACCCTCTAAATTTATGAACATAAAAAGCATTTTACCGGACTACTGGAGTGAGTAGAGCTGAAACTGGGCCGGGCAATCTATCCAAGTCTGAGTGCCCGTTCTCTTTTTGTTAGGTTTGGACAGAACTATAAGGGCCCGTTTTAGACAAAAAGAAAAGTTTGTTTAATAAATGACGTGGACTTGATTTAAGCTCTAAAAATGTGGGTGTGGCCTGAGCCCATCATGAATTTATATGTTTTAATTACTTCATTCGTCTCTAAATAGATTGCGCTTTCCGAGTAATATACGTAGTTCAAAACTTTAGGTCTTTAATATTTATTTTATTAAAAACTAGTATAGAGTAAAACATACATATTCAAGCATAAAAAATTTTACAAAATAAGAGATGACAAAAAATATTTTATTTTATCAAATGATTACTGAAACAAAAACACAGTTGAGTTGTTTTTGTTTCATCATTTGATATATGAAATAAACAAAAGTTACCTAGAATTAGAATGGTAATAGTAGTGCAAGCTATTTAGGGATGGAGGAAGTATGTAACGAGTATGTAGTATAATACGGACCGGAGCACTCTATATTATATTCAGTATATGGTTTTGAACGTGAAAATATATTACGAGATGTAATTAATTATTTTCACTCACTTCAACATTGGGTATACTTTAATTGCATTTTTTACATGAGCTATGTACTTTATTCCTTTTTTATTTATTCAATTTCTTTAAATTTAACCAAATGTTACTATAATTTAGGCAGAAATTGTGGCCATAAAATTTGCTTATATCATATATCTTCTTGAGTGGCGCCATGTGTATTATTTTTATTTTGGCGAGAAACCATTGAGCCTTCATGTTTTGGTATTTTGTGTTAGGTAAAATGGAAGTTTCAGAATTATAAAATAAAATGGGTGGATAATGCTATACCAATTTTTATTGCTATTCTCAAAATGTGGTTTTCATAAGGAGTGTTTGGAGAAGTAGTGAGTGAGTGACAATGATACGTTTGGGAGTCACACTAAGATCCTACTTCAATCGAACAAGCCCTTGGATGGACAGAGAAAATGTAGAGAATGAAAATGAAAAGAAAGAAAATGAAGAAAATAGAAAGAAAATGATTATTATTATTTGGTTAAATAGAAAATGAAGACATAATATGGAAAAAAAAGAAAAGAAAGATCAGAATAGATATAGAGTGAAAAGTTTTTATATGGTTTTGTCATTTCTTTTTTCTTCAGAACGCCTATGAAGTCTTTAGAATTGGGATGTCCAAAAAGGGTATTCATTTTTATTTTTTTATTTTATTTCTTAATTTATTCCTTATTTTTCAGAGTTGTCAAAAAAACTTTTTTTATTTTATATTTTAAAAAATGAAAAATAAAAATTGTTAATTTGAGACGTAGATATGCAATATACTTGTATGTTATTTTTTTTTTCAAACAAAAACAGTTGTAAAATTTCAAGAACATTACTAAACATAATATATGGTATGAAACATTTAAAAACCATAATGAGAAAAAAAAATGAAACGAACATGTACACAATATGTTACTCACTCCATTACTTGCGAGGTCTCCCAAGAAGGGTCTTTCTCATCAATGTTTTTTTCAGTGTGTATGTTTATACCACTTTGAGTTGGGCTTTATTGATTTGTTCTTTTTCAATATACTCAACATTTTCTCTGTTCTGTCTAAATCTTTCTTCTTCATTCTTGATGTCATAAAGAATAAACAATAAGACCTTTTGGCTTTTAATGGTAGCATTTAATTTTTGCATTTTTAAAATTACTTGTAATTTGCACAATCAAAAAGATATCCAAACTGAACTTCTCCCCTGGCTTGAGTGGTAGCAAGCCCACTCCCCAGGATTCATGGGGAAGTTCACACAGGTTCGAGCCCTTATCACACAAGCCCCGTAACAGCTCAGTCATTGAAATCACTGAAATTACACAAATGCCACTCCTGGGGTATAGGGTATGTTCCAACAATTCACATTACAGTTTGTAAAATTGTAACATGCCATTCATTTGATGAATAGCAAAATACAAAATGCCTATGAAGCAGTTTGAATATGAAAGGAGCACAGTAGTCAATCATCATCAGTTGTACAATACTCTGCTATAAACTAAAAATCCCAAAATTGCCAATGAGAGAAAAAATAAGAATGTTTGCCACCTGTTAAGTTCTTTGCTTCTTCTTCTTCCCTTTCAGCTTCACCATCTCATCATCATTATTGGAGTTTCGTTTCGCTTGAACAGGATTCGCTGCATCAGCTATTACTGCCCTTGTTTCTGCTTTGATGGGTTTTTTCTTTGGCATTGGCAACCTGCACATTGTTAATATTATGTTACGCAACTAGAAGATGGGCAAAAGAAACGCGTGCAATGTTTAAAGTCAAGTGGCATATCCCTCAGGGGGGGCACCCCCACCCCACCCACCTATCACCTATATACTACCTCCATCCCATAAAACTTTCACTTTGAAAAAAAAATGTGGGATTTAAGAAATGTGTAATTTTGGTGTAGCTTTCCCATTTTACCCTTTATTGTTATTGTAGGGTAGAGGATGTGATACGTAGATTAATAGTGAATCTAGTTTGTGAGGTACATGTGTTACTACAGGTCCCGAAGCGCCATACTTCATAGTCAACTAGTCAAGTAAACATACATATTGCACAAGTAAATACAAGTTTAAATCACTGAACAAGGCAAAGGTTTTAATATCATGTGATGTAAACAAGAAGATTGTTCAACTTCACCTCATCTTCTTGCCGTTTTTTGAAGTTCTTAGAGCAGCCTTATCAAGAACGCTTTTGTAGTATTGAGTGAATGGAGCATTAAAACTTGACTTCTCAAGCTGCACAACATTCATCCATTGAAAAAGATGAGACTGATTAAAATTCTTCCCTACTACTAATGATGACCGCTTACTGGGTAAATAGAGAGAAACCTGAAGAAATAATTCAGCAGATTGATGATCATTGGGTGAAAATGCCACCTCGTCTCTCTTCCTTCGGACAAAGTCTGCATTTTGCTCAACCTGCATCGCCAAAAATGGTTCAAAGAAGAACGATTTAAGATATGAAAGAAAATCAACCAAAAATTTTCTCATCAATATAAACAAGTCCAAACACCCAAAAAAGAAAAATAATGAGGAATATTACCTGGTCAATCAAGCGCTTAATTATTCGCTTAAAACTTTCAGTACAAGTCGTCTCAAGAAATTTCTTTAAACGAATGATAGGGATGGTTGCTAACTCAGGAAAGGAAATATGATAGCTCCATTGAGCAAAGTGTGCCGATAGTTGTTCAATTACAGACAAAATGGATTCTTCTTGGAAGACTTTTGATTTCAAGCAATGCTTCGGTAACTGCATCACATGCAAAGTGAAAATTCATACCGGTAGCACATAATAATAAAAAGAACATGGTATAGATTTGCAAGACTAACTAAATCACCATCTAACCTTTAACACAGACTCGAAGTTTAGAGCATTTCCATTTTTCACATCCTCTTTGATCATTTTGTATTCTAAAACATCCAACACAAATGAGGCAACAGGCACAAAAATTCCACTAGCGCTGGAGAGCCTGTTAAGCCACTGGATGCACTTAAGTCTTAACGGAAAATATCTTGGTCCGGAAAACATGCAAGCAATTCCATTTATAAGCTGAACCATTGTGAAAAACAAAGACTGAAAATCATAGTCTTGCATGTTGACAGATAGGAATTCAACCCAGAGATCAACGCAGTTGATGTATTCCCAACTGCAAATCTTTTTAACAGCTTCCTGCATGACAAATAATGAATTATGGAAAAGAAAAGCTTGTATATTTCCCATTCATACTAATGATTGTTTATCATACAACTTTCAAAAAGAAAAATATCGGTCACCGATTACCCTTTTCTTAGTGTGCAAGCCCCACTTCAATACTTTTGCTAGCTGACTGACAGATATAATGGCCTTCTCAGAGCATCTTTCAATATCTACTGAAAACAGATCAACTAAAGAATTTCTCAGGAACTGAATATGTTTGATGTTGACAATTTCAGGGACTCTTGACTGAGCAAGATAAGAACCAAATGTTTTAGCCAAGCAATCCTCAAAGCACTCAGATGTGAACATTGCAGCTGTGTCTCGTATGACAAGAAAAGAAGCAGATGACAAAACTCCTCCGCCTGATGCCCACAGATGGACTGATGTCTGGTTCAAAATTATGTGTGTCATGAAATGATAGGATAATACAATGCCAGGAAATCCAAGTAATAAAGATATAAAGAACAATCATGTAGAACTACAAAGAAAAAACAAGAAAGATTAAAGAAGAGATATCTAGTAATACAATTATTGTAGCCAGCAATAGGATAGAAAGACATATCTATGACAGTGAAAATAGTGCACATTAAAAGACCTCAGCTATAAAGCGATATGAATGAAGGATTTATGTACTTAGTTCTTTAAAACTGTCAACAAAGAGTGTAGCACGAAAATAATGGTATATCAGGAAGAAACCCTATATAAGCAGATAGCTCTTACCTTAATTAGCCTGTGCAGAAGAGATGGAAAAACTGCAAAGAAGACCACAGACGCTCTCAGCCGGGTCAAAGCGAAAGCTAGGACATCTGAATCAGTGACTTCATTCAGCAGAAATAATGTACTTCTTAAATAGGATTTGATAAGAGGCCTCACGTTCTTTGATTTTGACTTGTTACACAGTTCCATAACTTCTTTCTTAGATTTGGAGGATGATATTTTCAATAGCTCTCGGATCAAATTATCTGCCTCAGAAAGAACAAATAATATTATGTTGCAAAATGCATCACTACTCTGAAACTGATGGCCAGACTCAGCTCCATAGTGACATGCCGTTCGATAAGCATTAAATAGACTAACTGCTGCAGATTCTCTGTGTTCCCCTTTGATAAGTTGGCACCAGGAGCCAACAGCAGTGTCCTTTATAAAATGTCTTTTTCTTTCACCAGAGCCATCTTCATCTATCTCATCTTCATCTGACTCCTGTGAGACATGCTTATAGTTAAGAGAAGCCCAAATCACCATCATGTTTGTGCAAATGTTGCATCTAGCCTATGGCCACATAATAACAATTAAAAGGTCATAATATTTCTACCATTGAGATACAGTGGTAGTTATGACTTACAACAATGTGTTTTATTTGAGAAACCAACAACATTACATTTAGACTAATTTTGGAAATTACACAAGGTTCACGATCAAACTATCCAGGGAATGTGCAAGAGCACTGCTGAGTGCCAAAAAAATGAACAAAGTTGATTTTGAGTGTCTAACAAATGTTCAGAACATTTTTCAACTGGTTCATTTATCTTAAAGAAGAATTTAAGAAGACCATAAGATCTTCCTGTCAAACCAATGAGCAAACTCTGTGTTACAGTCTTTCAGAAGCATTAGCTAGCAATCATCAAAACAAACAATATTTCTTCAGCTTACCGTCGTTCCTTTATGTACTTCAACATCCTTGCATTTTTCCAAGAGTTTGCAGAAGTCTGGATTCTGTATCAATATGAATACTTTAGATGGAAAAAAATGTGTGCAAGTAGTGAACAAATATAATCTTTATAATTCACCACAAGGCAGACACATTGAATGAGAAAAAAGAAACAACCTTCTTTTTTATCCTTCTTAACTTATTCTTTTTCACAACAAGATCTTCAAATAAAATCCGGTTTTCCTCGGATAAAGAACTACCATCATTACTATCTGCATGTAAATAAACCAGAGTATTGTGTCATTGCCCATGCCAAAATGTAGAACAAAGAACAAAATATTTGAGGAAGAAAAGAAAAAAAAGGTAGAGAAACAGTGAATTGCATGGTAAGTTAACCTTCTTGAAAACTTATGTGCTCGGTATCTAATTCACCACCTGTTTCCTGACATTTTGATCATTAAAGGATTGTGACCACAAGCTATGGAACAAAACTATGGTGAGTAAACATATCTAAAGAAATAATACAGCTTAGAACCTCAGAAAGATATCCATCACTGTCTGAGGCAACATCAGCCATATTATTTTTATCTTCCATGAATGCAGCACCAAGAGAAATATCTTCAAAAACCTCATCAGTGGTGCTACTGCAAATAATTGAAACAGTTAAGAAAAAATGTCATAAACACATTGAAGTCTTGCCAAGTCTCCTACAAGATAATAGATATGGGACAAAGATTATGGACAGGTCAAAGCATGTGCATTAATCAAAGCTCAAAATACAGTTGCAAACTTGTAAGTTGCAACTAAGTATATTGAGAAGTGATTGTTGCGTCTTTGAAGAATCTCAATATAAGATAAGGGCTTGATGCAACCAACAAGTTGAGACTAAATTGTAATACTCTTGCGGAAGTTGAATATGAAATATTTACTACTCCTTGAGTCTTAAATTAAAAAGGTAATGCTTCAAGCATTTTTTGCCCCAATAAAGAGTACAGTTTCATCAATTGAAACTATTTCTTCACGAAATCTTCCAAAAGCAATCACCAAAAAAGGGAAAGACAAGTTACACACTCCCTCCATCCCATAAAAAGGTTCCACAATTTGTTTTTTGTTTGTCCCAAAAAAAAGGTTCCTAGTTCCTTATAGGCAATTGCATGGAGCGTGGTTCAAAAAACTTGGTCTCTCCGCACAAAACTCGACCATACAGTCATACATTTTCACCTTTAATAATAACCACATTTGGTCAATTGTGGAACTTTACTTTGGAATGGAGTGAGTTTGAAATATTTACACTATGTTTGATTCAAGTAATTTGAAAGGGAAAAGAAAAGAAAATGAGATGGAAAACATTTTTTCTTGTTTGGTTAGAGATGAGAAGAAAATAAAAGTGGAAAGAAAATAAATGAGTAGGCAAAATGTACTAAGAGGAGGGAAAACAAAATTCCTCTTGTATTGGTGAAGAAAATGAGAGAAAACTATTTTCTTTTCTTTCTAATTCCTTGAACCATAGTGTTAGTTAACCAACAAATAAGTACTAAAACATATGCATCATTCTGGATATATTACCGTTGTACCTCACCAAAATTGAAAAGTTCATCTAGTCAAACAAGACTGCTTTTGGGACAAAAGTAGTAACATAGTTATTTAGTGAAAAACATGTAGGTGTAGTTGACTAAAAAAGACAAACTGAAATAAGGGGGTGTTTGGAGAGCAAACAAAAGATGAATTCTAAAATAAAATAGCTCAATTCCTTTATGCCTGTTTGGTGAGCCGTATTACAGGTTGAGACTTGAACCCTTTAGGTTTACGAACACCCCCCAAAAAGGGATGTCTTGAACACCACCTATTGTGGGTGAGTTCAAACCAAAGGGTTCTTTCAAACACCACCGCTGCTCCCACTGCAACTATAGGCACTACCACAAGGACCACCACCTCAACCACCACCCCTGCCACCCTACCTCATCATCATTTCTCTTCATACTTTTTTTTCAAAGCTGACATTTTTTGGACCGGACAATCCCATCCTTTTTTTCTCCATGCAGCTGTGTTCCAACTTCCAAGGTCCAAAACTCAACCCACATTCTCCAGATTTCAGGACTTGGATTCATCCCAACTTTTACTAATCACAAACCCCTAAAGAGTAGAACACTATAAACAACAACAACAAGAAACCCAGTATAATCCCAACACCCCAAGATAAACACAACCTTACACACGTAAAAAAGTAAGAGGTTTTTTCCATAACCCTTGATTGAATTTCTGCATTTACTCCCAAAAAAATCATAAAATAAGAAGAAAGAAAAGTTTAATGTGCCACTTTGTTTTGGTCCATAATTTATGGGAACCTAAAACAGTGTCAAAATGACTCTTGACTCTTTCAGCTCACTTGACAATGGATTTTAAATAAACACCGGGCTTTGAAAAACTAGGTGATCCAAATGCATGAATCCTATTAATAAACACCAAAGCCTGAACATCTGTCCTCAAGAAGTAAATGGAATTAAGCAGCGTAGGATCAAAAGATTAAATATGAACAAATTCACAGTGTTTACCTTTCATTACGCTGTTCTGTTTTACCTACTGGGCTTTTGGCAGTAATCCGCTCCTTTTCTGCACCAAAGAAAGTTCAATCTGTAAAATACAAAAAAAAAAACCTTGCTCTCAAAGAAAAAAAGCATATGAAGCCACTCGTGAGTGAGCTCCATACCAGTGATGGCCACGCACCAAAACCCTTAAACTCTCCAATGCGCCAAAATTGGCATCCCAATTACAACGTCAACAGTAAAAAGGTCATGAATGTCCAAACACCACGACATAGATCTTTACAAAAAAAATCTTTTTTTCCAAATCTGACATTGTTAATGAAGCGATATTCCAGCAAGCAAAGATGAAGTTGGGAAGGAGAAAGAGTATTACTTGCAGCGAATCGTTTCTTGAAAAGAACTTTGGTCTTCCGCTGTCTTCTAGATACGGATGGAAGATTCTTCCTCGCGAACTTCCTGGCCTTCAACCCTAATTTGCCCATCACTGTTCGACTGGTCAAGGGTTTATGCTCTGATAGCGCCCCCTAAAATCAAGAATTTTAAAACTCCAGGGTTTTAAACTGGCCTTGAAATGTGGGTTTTAACTGATTAAAAAAGGGGGCTTTTAATTGAACCGGCCAGTTGAATTAGATAGTCAGTTTCTCAATTAGGAAAAATGTTATTTTGACTCTAACATTTGAATCTCGTCTTTAACCTCATTCTAACATACATTAGACATTATTTTGTGTCTGTAATCATGAGATTAAAAAATAAAGTTAAAATATTGGAGTCAATCAAGCATAGTGCTAGCTCTTCCAGTCAGATCTTCTTGATGTAGGGAGTCGGGGTTAATTATATCTCACTGAAAATTATTTTTAATTTAGTTTATATTAAAATTGATATTCTGTGTATAATTTTAAAAAATTGAAATTACATATTTACAAATTAAATTAAAAATTCTTTAAATACAAAAGTAAAAGATCAAATCAATAATATAAATAAATGAAAAGAAAAAAAGGCTAAAAATTGTACTAAGTAAACAATGGAAAAAGAAATATACGACATGTCGACATTGATGTGTTTATGGAGGAGGGGGGCCCTTACCCGATCGGCAGCGAGTACCTCCGAGTAAAAGGAGCACACCGCAACGAATGTTTTTCAAGTACTTGTATAATGTTTTGATTAATCATGTATCCCGGAGTATTATATCTAATTTTAAAAAAAGATTGTGAGTATTTGAGTAGTTTGAATAAAATGACACAATCAAATCTAAGTAGCTAGAGTAGTTTTGAAGTGGGAGGATTGTATTAGCTAGTTAGAGTAAGTAGTTTGAGTAAGTGGTGGACATGCCCTTTCTCTAGGATTCTCTATCTTCCTTTCCTGTCTTCCTCCTTCATCCACTCACATTTTGTCACATAACTCACCACACCCTAATTTAACACACCCACTCACCTATATACATATGGCTCCTTATCCCACCACCCATCAAAGACTATGGATACTAATATAGAACAATACCATATTGTTAATATTCCTATTTTATGACAAAAACATGTCCCTTTAAATTTGGGATAAGACGCACATTTTACTCCCGTTTTAAGCTATTTCTTTAAAGAAAATAATATTGCACTAATATATTATTTTAGCAAATGAATAATAAAAAAAGAAAAAAAAGTAGTCAAAGTTTGTTTGATCTACAAATGTGAACATGATTTTTTTAAGAAGGAAGTACTCCGTATAAAACATTCATTTAAACTCATAAAAAATTGATGCAAAAGATAACATTTGAGTTAGGTAACATTTACTCTATTCTAGTGCCTCCTATTTTAGAAAAGCAATGTTACGTTTACAAACAAAATGGTCACAAACTTATCATTTATAATTTACATTTTTATTACAAAATTATTCTAGACTATTTAAACTTTTTTATTGAAGTTCACAAATAGTAAGTTTGTGAATTTTCTAATTATTTTATTTGTGAATCAAGCCTTTCTCTTTTAAAAAATTTGTAAAGAGGAATATAAACTAAAAAAGGAAGACTGTTACTGATATTGATACTAGTACTTTAACATGTGTTATGTATGGAGTGTCTCATGTTTTGTTTTTCTGATTTTAGAATTTTTCTCTGTTACATCATTCTTCAAATTTCAAACAAAATAAAGCATCAACCTTAAAAGTTAAAATAATGATAGAATATATGATATTTGTTAATGAAAATTCTACTATAAATATTTGAAAATTAACATGTCAAATTCTTATTTAAATTTGAACATTTTTAAAAATTAAGGTATATAACATGTTTCTGTAATGTTAAAGACTACAAAAAACTTCAAAAACTAATACTTTTAACCCGACTTTTACTCTTGCTCACGAAATAATTATATAAAATTAATAATTGTAAGTGAATACTCACTTGATAAAAAGGTAATCCTCTAAATAACAATGTTTGGCCCTAACTTTTACTTATGATCGTAGTGAAACATAAACTATTGAAAATCATATTTTTTTGAAATGTTAAGCGCAATCTTGTATAAAATGATACGTCATTCATTTAGGTTGTGTAAAACTTCTCTGCGACTTTGTTTTCTAATACTACAATTGCACTGATGACAATTTTTCGTAACTCTTCAATGATTAATATTATATTATTACACAATTGAGATTGTTAATCAATGTTCCTCAAAAACATAATGGGTATAACTTTCTTCAAATTAAAATTACTTTATGGTTTAAGTTTCTCAAACATTTGTTTTCATTCATAATAAAATCACAATAAGACTAGTCATTGCCTCATTGGTGGAATTATTAAGAGCGTCAATTACTTTCTTGCAATCTATTTCTACAATGTTATACCTCCAAAATTATTAAGACTATTGTTATTATAATTATTACTATTATTATTAGAATTACTATTATTATTATTATTATCATTGTTACTAATATTATTATTACTATTACTATTATTATTTATATTATTATTGTTATTACTATTATTATTAATATTATTATTATTATAGATATTATATTATTATTATTATTATTATTATTTCTATTATTATTATTATAACTATTATTATTACCATTTTAATAAAAAATTTAATTTAATCAAATTCATATCAAATTAGACCCGATCAGACCAGACCAGACCAGATCAAATACAGACCAGATCAGATCTTCAAAAAAATCTGATTAGATCAGATCAGGCGAACGAAACGCACCCTTAGTAACATGGGAAAATCTAAGAATTCATGTCTCGGGGTCTCACATCTCTAACCCGACTTAGATCACCTTAAATGGACAACTTTACCCTTACAGGTTGGCTTGCACCCTTAGTAGTTAGTATGGTATGCCCAAATGCATGTTATCTGTTCATTGCAAGGCCACTACACGAAATGTGCTTACATATCGACCCGAAGACAGGAATCCGAATACAGCCATTGTAGTCGCACAAAATTTACGAACCAACGCAAAGTGGTGTCAGATTAGAAGATATACATCTAGCTAAAGGAAACCAAGCTACATGAGCAAGTCATGTTTTACAATGTGCAGACTTTTCACTCACCCGGCTTCTTCAAATGCATGACCTCTAGGAATCTTGTTTATAATGGACAGAAGGCGGCGTCAACTGCCTTTATAATAGGGGCAGCATTGAGCCGAAAGTTTCTAAAGCTTCTGCCGGGGCCCGCGTCTAAGACTTTTACATCGGTTTTTGTTGGTTTTACTGCTTGACTCTCTGCTACCCCTGAGCTTCCTGTAGAGCTATTCTTTGCCTTCCACACAATGTTTCCTATGAAAAATGAAATACAAATGAAAAAATAAGTGATAGGAAATACCCACAACATCCATGAGGGCACGGTTAAAGTAAAGTTTTATGTGAAAAATGGAAAATTAGAGTTCAAGTAGTATTGTTCCATCAACCTATAAGAAATCAATATCACTTTCTAGGCACTTCACATATCCCAGGTTTTTTTGGGGGGGATACCTTCTTGCTCAAGGGTACTTTAGTAATAGTAATTACTCCCTGCGTCCCAAAGTTATGTGCCCAGTTTGACCGGACAACTTTAATTGTAAGAACTGCTTGAATTTGTGCAAAGAAGAGAGAAACAATATGAACCACATATTGTTTACCTTAAATGTAAACATGCACATTGAATAGGGACAGACCAAAAAGGGGGAAATGCAAGATAAATTGAGACCCAGGGAGTAACACATTCTACCTACTAAAAAGGGCTTAAATGAACATTTCTAGTCATGCTTGAATCACACGGAAAAGTTGCAGGGAGAAGAGAGAACCTTTCAAAGGTCTATCAGGTCTAGATTTTACCGGAGGCTTGTGTGCAGAAATCCATGCTCTTAAAGACCTGTAAAGAGTTCTCAATTATTTCCTACAAGTTATATTGGGAGAGCTAAAAAGGAATGTGTACTTAACATAGACTGTTTAAGACTCACGTTAGAAATGGAGCAACCATGTAAAGTTTGAAGCCATTGTAACTGCGAGATATGACATCACTATTTCCTGGTTGGAATTCATCTAGTCGCTGCCATGCAATTTCCTGTACACATAAAAGGTATTTCAGCGTAGACGCATTTGTACCTCTCTATACCAGACTGATTTCTCATACAGTTTGACCAGAGTGAGCTATTATATTAATTTAGTAATTTAGCAGGGGGTAGCTAAGCGGATTTGCATCCTACGACAAGATTTCTAACTATTACCAATGCTAGAGTTCTGGAACTCATCCATGGTAGTACAAATCGCAGACAATAATTTTTTGTCAAAATACTTTTTTTCTTTGAACACCTAGCCACTAACCTTACAGACAAAACAGTCCCTCTTTCTAAATCAATCACTTAGGGCATTGATGGCAATTTGCATAGAGATGATTTTACTTACACTAATCTCCTTTTTGGTGAGGGGAGCAAATGCTGTATCATCTTTCACTCCAGCAATTATGTAAAGTCGCACCCTTTGCTGCCCGAATAACATTTCAATGAACTCTTCCTTGTTAAGGAGTTTTGATACATCAAATCCTGTTTCCTCCAAGACCTGCATTATCCATTATAAAATACATTGCGAGGTTGTCATCATAAGACCATTACCACCACCATCTTTATACATACTGCATTGGGATTGGTAGCAAAAAATTTAATGTGAAATAATTGTCTAAAATTTAATTTAACACAAGTACACATTTAAGCAAAAGGAAAACATAATTGAAAAGTCTACTTTATTATCACGAAGAGTGAAATGAAAGTTCAAAACCAGCATTTTCAGGTTCTATCCGCTTGCATGGAGAAAATATCATGAGCCGTCAACTAGTGGAGATAGTACTTATAGTCAAAAGGATGGGATGATCAGATAGAGAATAACTGCAAGTCACATTATGGGTATTCTTTGAACATCATTTAACACTCCAATACTGATCCAATGATAACAGTTGGGTGACTTAACCAAGCAGTAATATGCATAAATGCACAACTACCCTAAATAAAGCACCAAGCAAATGGACATATTCATATATTGGTGTATACATCTGATAAGCATGAGAGGTCTTAAACATATGTACATGAAGCCGCTGTTTAAAAATAAGAGAAGTTTTAAAATTAAAAAAAAGGGAAGAAACCTCTCTAATAGCACATGCATGATCTTCCTCATCCTTGTTCTTTTTTCCGCGAGGGAAACTCCAGCTCGATCCCTTCCAACCCTTCACTAGTAAGCACTGCATTTCACACAAAAACCCCATCACCACTAACAAGCATAAAAGAATATAACAATAAACAGAAATTTTGTGGAGGACATCAAAACAAAATGAAAGCAATTGCTCATTATGGTATCACTCCCATTAAAAACACCTCATCTGTCCAATTTATATGTCCCTCCTAACTCTATTCTTGTGATCAAAACAGCTCTCCTTTATTTTAGACAACATACTTTCATCATATTCAAATTATGTTTTCTTTTTTGCAGTTTAATAGAGCTTTAAGTATAGTTTTTGAATACATATATTTTAAATTGGTGGGCTTCTTTTGAAAACAAGTTTTGTTGTCATACTATGACAACAATGGCTACGGTGCTCTGTTCGAAAAATTGATGGTTCCTACCCCTTACCCTGTCCCCCCTCCCCAGAACCCCTGTCCCCCCTCCCCAAAATGCCGATTTGCCTACGGTGCTCTGTTCGAAAAAAATTCGAACGGAGCACCGTAGTCATTGTTGTCATAATATGACAACAAACTTGTAGTCAAAAGCAGGGAGCCGATTTTAAATACTTATACCTAATTAAATCTTAATGCAGAAACTTTGATATTTACTTCAATCAAGCCAATAAGAACAGCCCCTTATAATTTGGGACAAGGAATTCGTGCAAAGCCAGCTGCTTTTATTCATTTAGATTACAATATAAAAGAAAATGTTGTCAATGCCAATATCAGGATCAAACTTCTTCACATGGTCTTCTTTAGATGAATGCTCAGAAAACAAAGAAAAATTCATTCACAACGGGTTTGACTAGAAAGTATAGATCCTTTATACTGCAGCTGATCTGTATTTAATGTCCTAAATGGAAATGCAAATATTTTATAATGATACTAATCCTGCTATCATTCTGTCCCCCTTTATATTCACCTTTTTTCTTATTTGTCTGTTCCAAAATTATCTCCTCTTTTCTTATAAGCACAACAATTATGTGGTTGAAATTGTTTCTCTTCTAATTAAATCTCAACAAAAAAAATAAAACTTTGTTCAAAATCATGCAAAGTCATAGAAGGAAAGAAATAAGGGACGGGGAGAGTATAACAATTCATAATGCAACTATTGTGTGTTATTCTTATTCACAAGACTTCAATGTATGACCAATATACTTCCTCTGTATTTGAATAGTTGCTCCAGTAAGGTTTACACGGTTTTAAGAGTAAAATTTTAGGGGCATTGAATAATGTATAAACTAGAGTCTTAGGGAGAGTATCAAGAGGTAAAAGAAGTAGGAAAAAATGAAAAGTAATAACATATCAATAAGCTCAAACTTTCCAAAATAGGAAGTGGAAGTTAATAGAAACTTGTGTAAAAGGGGAAAGTGGAGCATCTATTCAAATAGAGAAGGAGAACATAAAATGCAATAATACACTGCTTTCATTTACTCACGCTGACTATTTGGAAACACAACAGCCCTAACAAGAAAGAATAATAATTTGAAACATATTTTTCATAAAATTGATTGCCCGTGCTTATTAATGTTTTTAGACAATTTGAGGGTTCACTTTGTTCGCCGTCCCACCAATTTAAAAAATGAGGAATATATAGATACTACACTAGCTGAGCAAGTATCTCTTCGTATGCTTCCATTTCTAAAAAGCAGTCAAAAGTAAAATCCTAGTGCTTGGCTCTTACCCGTTCAAAAGTCTCATCCAGGATTATGGCTCCTGTAACGGGAACTCGAACTTTGTATGAGGTGAAGTCCTTGAAAATATCATCTATATGTGCAACATATGGTTTTAGAACGTCACAGCTGTTAAATACTGAAACGAATCAAGGAAAGCAGATAGACTCCTAGTCCAAAAAGAAACAAAAAAGTAAAGTAAATCTAACAACTATAATTGTGCAGGATAGATTGAATGAATTATTAAAACGATACAATTTTGCTGCATAACTACTTGCATTATGTTCCCATGTAAAAACATGGATTGAAGGCTGTTGATGTATTGACTGCAAGAGGTTAAATCATTCAAGTGCATCAGTTTATTTCAGCAAGAGTTCAAGTGCATAAATTTATTAGTGAAAGAGATCCAAGTGCAGACGAAGGTGAGAAAATGCATCCAACTCACATGTCCTTCAGAAGAAACAGAGTTAAAAGTGGACCTTTCACTAATCCAAGATAAGATAAAAGAGAAGAAGCCATTTAACCAAGCCACTTAAATTCCATGAGCAATATCAAGCAAATGGCACAAATGATGAGAAGTGCATCATACAGATAAAAAGATTTAACAAGAAAATAAAATCTCAGGCATGTAGACACTGAAGTCTGAAGGATACAAAGAGAAGTGAATTCCTTAAGCGTGAAAGATTTCAATGATGGGTTATTCTCAACAGAATTGTCCTCGTAAAACCAATGTGCGTACTCCACAAGAAACAGAATCCTCTCAAATGACTGTTGATCTTCTTTTGGAACATTCAGAACAAAACGACTGCACCAGGCAAGAAAAAAACACCATTTATAATTCATACCACAAAAGTGCTACAAATGTTAGTACGAGTCTTTCAAACAACAACAGCAACGCATGTTCAAAAAGAACAACAGAAACAAAAACAACACAGTACACACAGGGCTCGATCATAACAGCACATTCAGATACATTAACTATGACACCAGGTTGCGATCCTTGCGGACTTCTTGAAGTGTTTAACACTTCTATGCTACATTTCAAAAAACTGGTGTGTGAAGTCCCTTATAATAATTCTAAGAGCTAAATAATTATATCAAAGCAATAACGAAATGTGCTACCAAATTATCCCACCACTTTCAGCCTATAATCTTATGAAGTGTCCATAAACAGTCCAATGAATTCAAATAAAACGTCCAATTCCTTGATGTTTATGGCAAATCCTGAACAAGATAATAAATCTAAATAAATTTTAATCATGAAATAACACGTAGTCTTCTACTGTTGCAGAGAGAATAGATAACAGACGAGCAAACGCCTGATTCATATGCGGGCACAAGTATGTACACAGTAAGTGAAATTTTACCTGCAAAGATCATCAATTAATTCTTGAGGAGGGAGACCATTCTTGGAGGGAGCGCAGGAAGAGCGGTTGAACCCGGACATATGTTCAGACCTAAACGAAGAACTAAAACCCTAATTTTTTCTGATTTGAGTTTAAGCGTGTGAAGATAGCGGAGGGGTAGAAGTCAAGCACAAATTTTGAAGAAGGAGATCAGACGCCGAAGATAGGAAAGTGCTATTTGGGTGGCCCGCCGTCCAATTTCACCATTACACTGGAAGGGAGGAGTAATAATTTTGTTCATTCTTTTTAGTTTCTTCAACATTTTTTTCCATTCTTTTTGTCATTTCTTCCCAAATTTTTTTAGTTTTTTTCTATTTTTTATGATTTTTTAAAACAATAGTTTAAAGGTAAATTCTGTTGTGATCTTTAAGACATTCCAACGAAAGTCCTAAGAGGGTCTTAAGATTCTCTTTCATTGGAATGCGTAAGAAATTAAAAAAAATCTAGAAGATTGTTTAAATTTTCAAATTCACTCTCAAAACTCATAATTCAATCTATTCAATAAAAATATGACACGTGTAATCAATAATAATTTTTTTAAAAAAATATAAATTAGTTGCAATTACTTCGTATCAAAAAAGTAATCATCTCCACTTGGAAAGAAACTTAATTGTCAATTGTGTCCACTTAAAAAAATATAAATTAGTTGCAATTACTTCGGATTCCATCGGCCAACCTCCTCTGCGATAGGATTGCAGCGGCAATAGGACGACCTTCCTTCGGGGTTCCGAGCTCCGGCGACGCAGGGACAAGAGAGATGAAGAAGGTGAATAGGAGTAAGCAAAATCTCAGGTCTTGGATTTGGAAATTGGATTTGTATTTATACCCAAGGCATGCAAATCCATCAAAATCCACAATTATTAAAATCTTTAAAAATCCATCGATTTTTGAATATTATCATACTTAGAAAGATTTTTTAAAGTTTGAATTGAATACACCCAGATTTTAAATGACTTTTTAAATTCTGAATTGAATACCTGCGAATTTTCAGAATCCAAAAAAATCTATTAGAATCCGGATTGAATACACCCCCCTTAATTTAGTTTGTTGTGCTTTTAATTTTTTTATGCAATTTATTTTTGTGTGTGCTTACTTAAAAAATTTAATAAAATGCACTCATTTTATTGTATGTATTTTATGTGTATTACTTTTATATAATTCTCTCTAACCTTATATTTTTATTTTTTTAATGTTTAATTATATTTGTAAATAAATTTGGTAGAACATTCAATATTGTATAATACAATTGTATACTAGATAAATGATTAAATAGAAATAAAAGTTAATAGTATAAAAGATAGTGCAATGGTGTTGTGACTAAGTCTAAAAGAGTCTAAAGATTGTAGTAGCTCTCCTAAAAGTTTAGAGAAAAATTTGAAATACTAAAATGTTTATACGATAGAGTCTGAAAGAGTCCTTGCATTGAGACATGAAATTATTAAATATATTGGGTCTTGTAAAATAAAAAAAAAATCTAAATACAAGTCTATAAAAAAATATGTGAGAAGATTCACATTTTACATGTGAGCATTTATAACCACGATAACACAACCCTAATTTTAAAAAGGTTATTTAAGTGAGAGGTGTCACGAGAATCCCAATTGATAGCACTATCTTTATCTTGCATGGCTAGACTGGTATCCTAATTTTGCTTGTTTGTGGTGATGATTCTTTTGTTATAAGAAGCTCTTATACTCTTGTACAAGAGTATAGTTCATTACTCTTATGTGTGACGAGTTTCAAACAAAAGATCTCGTTCCTCTTCATTCTTTTCTTAGTCTAGAGATTTGTTGTATCTCTTCCTCTCTCAGTGTTTCACATAAAAAATACACTATTGAGCTTTTTCATTGTGCTTGTTTGGAGGATTGTGAATCTACATTGACGTCGTTGCCGGTTTGACAGTCAGACATCGCGTGACGGGGGATGAACCATTCCATGATCCCATCCTGCTCCGAAGCCTATTTAGAGGATTTCAATATCTCATTAGTACTCACCCTCACATTTACTTCGTTGTGGATTATGTCTGTCAGCGCATGCAAAATCTTATAGGCAATGATTTTCAGGGTTTAAAGCAAATTGTGCAGTTTGTTGAAGGAACTGTTGATAGAGATCTCGTGTTTCAATATAGTGATCTGCAACCAAAGGCACTCTCCATTCGGATTGGGAAAATGACACAATGGACGAGCGATCAATCACAAGTTATCTTATCTACCTTGGACCAAATCCGATCTCCTAGGGTAAGGAAAAGCATATTGGTGTGTCTAAATCCCCTAATGAAGCTAGGTATGGAGTTCTATTGCCTGCATCCTCTAAGGTTATGTGGCTCACCTAGTCACCTATATTCTTGATGATTTGTGTATTCTGGTCTCACCCCTACAGTTTTTTGATTACCAGTTTGTTATATATCTAAGAAAATCCAGTGATCTATAAGCCTATGAAACATGCGTGTAGAAATTGTCACATTGTTTAATTTGGGAAGGGGTTGTCACTGGCACTATGAGTGTATCACATATTTTTTCAAAAGATCAACTTGCTGATTTGCTAACTAAACTTTTGCCATCACCATGCTTTCAGTCTCTTATTTTCAAGCTTCCACTCATGACACATCGTTCAGCTTAAGGGAATATAATTATTAATATTAGTAATGGCATACTTTGTATTTTATTCAGCTTTTATATTTTATTTCTAGATATGTTTGGAATCCTTACTATATATACTAATATGTAATCTTCTAGTATTTTTGAGAAATACAATTAATTTAGTATTTAATGTAAATTAAAACAAGTGAAAAATGTCACATTGTTTGCGAATAGGTTGTCACTCGCATTATGTGGTCTTCTATTGGTAAAATTGATACTTCCTACCTTTAATCCTCCAAACCACCCCAAAGCCCCTTGCTTCCCTGCACCGCATCCCAACTTCCTCCCTAGATCGCCAATTTTGGTAGCTCAAATTGGTGACCTGAGGGGAGAGGTTGGGGCAAGTGAGGTTATAATATGAGCCAGCCGGCATTCAAAGGTCAAAAGATCACTACGGTATTATTATTATTATTATTATTATTATTATTACTACAACTACTACTACTACTATTATTTTCTTGTTTTAATAAACACACTCAGCAATGCGTGGGACGGTGGGAGCGGGAGTAGATGGATAATACCTCAGAAATTTCCATGGACAAACAACATAAATTAAAGCTGCATGTCCATTCTGACCTTAAGCCAACAAACGCTAGAGAAGGTTAAGGTGCTGTTTGGCAACTCCTGAATAGATAAGTGTTGAACCAGTAACAGGTCTGAACCATTAAGTGTTGAACCAGTAAGAGGTCTGAACCATTAAGTGCTGAACCAGTAAGAGGTCTGAACCATTATGAGCTAGTATATTGCTTAACTATTCAGAGACAAATGTCTGATCAATTCAGATAAGAGGTCTTAACCATTCAGACTCTATATAATACTTAACCATTCAGAGGCAAATCTCTTAACCATTCAGACATCTAAACCACTAGGAGGCTGAAACAAACAGTCTAAACCATTAAGTGTTGAACCATTCAGACATCTGAACCATTAAGAGGCTGAAACAAACAACCCCTAAATGTGCTTTTCATGTAGTATGCTTTATTGCTTTAATTACTCCATATTTCTTTTTAGTTCAATTAATTAGCACAAGCCATTCCTTGCAAAAAAGCAAAACGTAACATGCTCACCTCGCAGACTTAGGCTCTGTTCCGTTCAACTTATTTTTTCTGATTTGCTCTAATTTTTTGTAGTCCTCATCAGATCAGATCTAGTCTGATCTAATCTGATTGGATCTGAATTGATCTAGTCTGATCTGATTGGATCTGATATGATCTGATCTCATCTGATTGGATCTGATCTAATTAATTATGATTTGATTTAAAATTCAAATCAATATTTTGATTTGAGTTTTTAATAACGTTTGAAAATTGTAATGATAATTCATATTATAATATAATCCATGATTTTTATTTTATAATTATTTTTTAATAAAATAAAATTAGTTAATTTATAAATTAGAATAATCATTCATATTTTAATGTAATAATATTTTTTATTTTATGATTATTGTTTGTGAAATAAGAATATTGATTTAATATTTTAATAATTAGTTCATACATACATTAAAATAAATATTTAATTTATATAAAATCAATACAGAGAAGAGATAATATTTTTATTAAAATATCTCATCCTTATAAAAGATCAAAACTTTAGAAACTCAAATTACAGGTAGCAATAAAAATGTATTTTAAAAGTAGAATTAGATTGACATTGTCAATGTATTTTAAAAATAATTTTTTCAATGTCTAATAATTAAGGATTAATTTCCTAGTTTTCTATTTAACTTGTTTCTAAAGTTTATTCCTTTTATTTTTTAAGAATAATAATAATAATAACAACAACAACAACAACAATAATAATAATTCTTTATGGGATCTGATCTGGTCTGGTCTGATTTGATTGGATCTGATATGATTAGATCTGGTGTGATCTGGTCTGATCTGATTGAATCTAATCTGATCTGATCTGATCTGATTCGATCTGGTCTGGTCTGATCTGATTTGATTTTAATAAGAATAAAAAAAATAAGAAAAAATAAGTTGAACGAAACAGGGCCTTATACCATATACATTTGGTGTTTAAAGATAATGACCCATTTACTTCACTTTTAGTTGTGATTTTTTATAATTCAGTTAAAACTTTTTTCACTAAAATGACACTTTAAAAATTGTGAAAATGACACAATATTTTTCTCTCCAAAATAGCACTAATTATTTTTAAAACTCACAACTTTTTTTGTATTGCAATTTCTTTGTCGACTAATACTCTGAATTATTTTTCAATAATCAAATATTATATTTCCCAAGAACAAAATACAAAATTTGTAAATCGTTATATATATTTTTTAATGTTATATTTTTTAAAAAATAAATTTAAAATTTAAATTTCAAAAAAACAAAAAAAGTAAATTTGTCTAAAATAATCACACCTCTCATTTATTTGTGAAAACATGCACTTTCCAAAATTTTTGTTAAGTTGCTGTTAGCTTATTAATGGCGACCCAAAACTCGTAGACATACAAAAAGGTGAGATTATTTCTAGAAGGAATTTACCTAAATAACACTAAGACATAATGACTTTCCTTGAATAGCACTACATGTGTTTTTTCCCAATGTAGCACTTTTAGTCATTATCCATTAGTCATTATTCAAGTAAATGTTTGTCATCACTGGTCATTATGGACATGATTAAGTGTTATTTAGGGAATAAAATAATTTAAGTACTATTTAGAGAAATGAGTTAAGTTTTAGTACTATTTAGTGCAAATATTTCTTATTTCTAGTGACAATTCAAAATAATACTCCCTCCGTCCCAAAAAGTCTTTCCTGTTTCATTTTTGCTCATCCCATAAAACACTTCTACCGACATCTAAAATGCCTAAAATTTACAACATTTCTTCTTTATTGTGGGTAGAAGTTATGGGATGCGCAAAAAATAAAACATGAAACACTTTTTGGGACGGAGGGGGTATTATTTTTAAAAAAACATGAGAAATGATGTTATTTAAAATAATTTTTTATTAAACTTGGTGGGTTTATTATGGGAGTAGTAGTATGTATGCCTTGCCACCTATATCCATTGGATTATGCTATGTGTACCCCAAGGTCTGTACCCCAATTTGTACCCCGCAGTTTTGCACCAACACTTTGTGTTGGTGTAAAATTAATTTTTGTTAAACGCACCAACATTTGTGTCCGTGTGAATATTTATTAACGCACCAACACTTGTGTCGATATAAACCATCAAAATGTTGGTGCAAGCCTGTGGTGTACAAATGTGATATATTTTTTGGTGTAAGTGTAGAATGGTCCATATCCATTAGGTTTCTTTTGCATGAAGAAATCAAGTGATAGGGGATCTTGAGGATATACTACTACTAGTAGTAGTAGTCAAATAATGGTCCAACTGCCTTCTTTGAAAAGACACCAACCATATGACACACACAACACAACTACACAAGTCTGGATAACGTTTGTGAGGTGTGACACTAGACCAAAGCCGATCCAATTCAATTAAACAAATCAATTTTACTTCTTCATGATATGAACTACTAATTCATACTCTTTCTGTCCTAAAACTTTTTTTCCAGAGCACTATTTTAAATTCACGTGAATTTATATTTATTTGTGTTTTTTCATGGCCTATATGATAAAATATTCTTGTCACTACTTGTTTTGTTGAACTTTTGATGTAGTTTTTAAATATGTGAGTATGTTTTATTTTTTATTTCTATACCAATATTTAAATAAAATAGATTGAAAAAACTTGAGATTTTTCTTCGTTTTGCGCAACGGAAAAAAGATTTTAGGACGGAGGGAGTACTATGTCTCCTTTTTCAATGTTCAAGTTTAGACAACATTTTAATCTGATCGATTATAGGACATTATTCCCTGGTTTTCTTTTGCACGTTAATATTAGGAGAATTCATCAGATTTTACATCTTTAATTATTCCAGTCCTTCACGCCAGTCAACTTGGACTTAATTATGCAAAGTTATTTTGGCTGACATGTCATTGGAAATATTGAACTGGTAAGAGCATCTCCAACCCATCATTTATATTTTGGTCTTCTATTTGCTATTATAGCTTTTGAACAGTGTTTCAACAGTTCATTTTTCCACCCTCACTCCAACCATATTACTCATATTTTAGCTTTTCATAATAAATAATTATTTTTGAATTATATCCTTTTTTTAAAACTATGATTATTTAATTAAACACGGAACCCATCAACATTATTTTGTCATAACAAAGAAAAAAAGAAACATCATTTGTGATGTTCGCCGGAAAAAATGGTGAGCAAGCCAGTTTGTGAGCCGGACACAAGTCTTACGTGGACCGTCCAAGCTTCGGATCTAGGCCCTGATCTTAGATTTATATATAGACCTTGCAACTCTTCTCTTAAGTATGGAAATGAAGCTTTTCGGAGTGAGATGGCAAGACCGCCGCCACCGCCGGTGGACTGGAGATGCGGAGTAGCTTGAGAAAAGAGATAAAAAAAAAAAGATATAGCTATGCTACAGTAAACATTTATTTAAAGAGGATGCAATTCTATATTTAAAGGGTGCTCTATAATATAGGTGGTGCGTTGGAGCATGAATATAATAGCTACAGTAACATCTATAAAATGCTTTTTTTAGCATATAAAGGGTGCGCTCGAGTTGCTCTAACACATCTAAATTAAAGTAATAATAAAATTAAATTAGGTGTCATTTGAACGTTTTTGAATACCTTAACAAAGAAAACCAAATTAAACTTCGTCAGAGGTGAGATCACCCGTTTTAAAGAAAATTATTAACTTATGGATAAAGTGATTTCCACAAAAACTGAAAGCAGAAGCACCTCCTACCTGTTTCTCCGAAACGATGTTCTATGTACAAAATAGTGGTGGTCAAAAGCAGAAGCTGACATGCCAAACAGATTAAAATAAATTCTACTCAAAGCAGAAACTAAATGATTAAAAGCAATACACTGCCAAACAGCCTCTAAATAGAACCGAATGTAATTCTATTGAGGTATGGGTACCTCCTCAAACACACATACAACCGTAATCACCTTCTCTCGCTTTAATACTATGTTTAGTCAGAGAAAAAAAGAAAAGAAAAGTGGAAGAAAAACAAAATTTGAAGGCAAAACACACTAAAGGAGGAGAAAACCAAATTCCCCCATTTTGGTGAGGAAAACGAGAGAAGAAGATTTTCTGTTTTCTTCCCAAATTTCTTGAACCAAACATAGTGTAAGAAAACTAAAACAATATCTAAAAATAATAATTGTATAATTCTGTATTGATAGGATTTAAGATGGATAGGGATCACTAGACTGTGCCATAAGACACCTGGTTTAACCACGTGTATTAAAAGATTGAATCCAATCAATTACTTGGTTCAACTTTGAATGCGGGAAACACTCTAACATGTACTCCCTCCGTTCCACAAAATCTTTCCTCTTTCATTTTTTTTGTTTTCCACAAAACACTTCCACTTTCTATTAAAAAACCACTTTTACCCCTACTTTTTCATACCCTACCTATCACATCATACTTTTTCACTAATAACTAAACTATCACATTTTACTTTTTCCCATCACATCAAGGGCAAAATTGAAAAGTCAACCAAAATTTCACTTTCCTTATTTTTCCCCAAAGTCAAAACCGGAAGGGTTTTGTGGAACGGAGGGAGTAATAATTCTTGGGCTTTATGAGGCTTTATGCACTATACTTCTCTCTCTGGTCCAAAAAAATATTTTTCTGTTTTGATTTTTTGTAGTCAAAGAGTATCATTGTTTAATTTTATCAAAAAATATCAAAACAAATAAGGTTTTTAGAACGGGAAGACTTACTTTTTTTTATTGAGCAAGGTAGGTGTATGAAGCACTTATCTTGAAACATATTCTCTATAAATAGGGAGTGTTTTTTGTGAATTTTACACTGATTTGCTAACTAAAAGCCAACCCTGTCTCCTATATATACTATGTCCCCCCTCATCCCTTTCATCACTTCCAACGAGACTTACTCTAGAAGAATGCCCATAATAATGCTCCCATTTCTTCTCGGTTTCTCTCTTTTCCTATCCGGTACCAATTCAACTAATTAACTAACTAAACCCCCATACATGGTTTAATTTCACTTCTTCTTCTTCTTCCAATAGTGTTAATCAATTAATATGCATCTTATTTATTTGCAGGTTTTGATGTTTTGGTACAAGTTGAATGCCTTGGCATAAACTATGGCCAAGTTGGCAACGACCTGCCTCCACCTGACAAAGTTCTACAACTCCTAAAATCCTTGAGGATTGACAAGGCAAGAATCTACGACACCAACCCCCAGATCCTGACGGCGTTCGCCAACTCGAACGTCGAGCTCATCGTGACCGTCGAGAACCAGATGCTGGCGGCCCTGGGCGGGGACCCGCAACAAGCCGCACAGTGGGTGAGCGGCCACGTGGCCCCGTACGTCCCGGGGACCAAGATCACCGGAATCGCTGTGGGCAATGAGATTTTTAGCGACAGCGACCGGTCCTTGGTCCTGAACCTGGTCCCAGCCATGGTAAATATACATGCAGCCCTCGTCCAGCGAGGGCTGGATCGTAATATCCACGTCTCCTCCCCCTGCTCTGCTGCAGTCCTCGCGAGCTCCTTCCCCCCGTCCTCTGGGTGCTTCAGGCACGAGCTCGCGGGGCCCATGCAGCAGTTCTTGCAGTTCCTAGAGGGGACGAATTCGCCCTTCTGGATCAACGCGTACCCGTACTTCGCGTACAAGGACAACCCTACCCTCATCTCCCTCGACTACATCCTCTTCAACCCGAACCCCGGGACGGTTGACCCGTTGACCAGACTGCGGTACGACAACATGTTGTACGCTCAGGTCGACGCGGTCGCGTTCGCCATTTCCAGGATGGGATTCTCCGGCGTGGAGGTCAGGGTGTCGGAGACCGGGTGGCCGTCGAAAGGCGGGCCCGACGAGACCGGGGCCACGCCGGAGAACGCAGCGGTGTACAACAAGAACCTGATGAGGAGACAGGCGGCGCAAGAAGGGACGCCGCTGAGGCCAAACGTGAGATTGGAAGCGTATGTATTTGCTTTGTTTAATGAAGACATGAAGCCGGGGCCGGCGTCGGAGAGGAACTATGGTCTTTTCCGACCGGATGGGACAATGGCGTATAGCGTCGGCGATGTGACGTCACGACCGTTGCCGAGTCAGCCCTCAAACTCAACTTCTCCCGTTTTCTCTCGAACAAGAAAGGTAAATGTGTAATTAAAATTAGAGGAATTTATTTAAATAGTACTAAGACATAATGACTTTCTCTAAATAGTACTACATGTGTTTTTCTTCCCAATGTAGCACTTTTAGTCATTATGCATTAGTCATTATTCAAGTAAATATTTGCCAACACAAGACATTATAGACATTATTAAGTGTTATTTAGTAAATAAAACAATTTAAGTGCTATTTAGGAAAATGACTTAAGTTTTAGTGCTATTTAGTGTAAATATTTTTTAAAATTATTTTCAATTTAATTTATTTAAATATTGATATGACATACTCCGTACAAAGAATATTAATTTAATTAAAAAAAATTGCAGAGACATTTTTTATCAATGTAAATCATAACATCACACTAACACAAAATATTAATGGATATCTTTGGGGTACAAAATGGAGTATAAATTTTAGGGTACAAATAGCTTAATCCTTAAACAATAGTAACTAGAATATTTTATTTTAATAAATATTTAATGAAAATAGATAAGGAAAAAATATTTGACCATGTAAATGGTAATTGTTAATATAAGTATCTATTCCTGGGCCACAACCACAAGCTTGAGCTTTTGGTTGAGTTGGTTCCTTGACATGGTATCAGAGCCTAGTTGACTAAGAGGTCACGGGTTCGAAACTCAGCGTCACCCAGTTTAAAAAAAATTTAAGATTTCACGTGCAAGGCTCGAAAAAGAATGCGCCTGCACGTGAGGGGGCGTGTTAGAATATAAGTATCTGTTCCTGGGCCACAACCACAAGCTTGAGCTTTTGGTTGAGTTGGTTCCTTGACAGTAATAAATATGAGATTTGTCTTTTCCGTTGACAATTAAAGTATAATTATACATTAATAAATATTATAAAAATATGATATTCCAAAATTATATTTCAAAGATAATTCATGTGATTACTTAAAATTAGTTGTGCCACAAAAAAATGACAAGTTTACTTAAAAAATAAAAACAATAAATAGACAAGTAGAATTGGTGGAAACTTTTCATATGGTGGGTATAGTTAATTTGGTCAATTTGATATCTTTCACAACTGCCACATCTCATAACCAAACTGAATTCCACTCTTGTGGTGGTATATATGCAATTATTCTAAACTACTTAAACTAATTTCTAACTGTATTATTTTGAATAAAATGTTGCAATCCTAATTTAAGTTATGATCAAACTATGTCATTTTTGACGCAAATTTTAGAAAAAGTATATTTTGTTATAATGTAAATTTAGTATAATTGTGTTTGTTTTAAAATATAGTTTTGAAATATCAATTTTTTATGATGTTTTATTATTTTAAAGCATGCATATATATATATATATACACACACACACACATATATACATATATATATATGTGTGTGTGTGTGTGTCAAATTATGACAATCTTTTAAGGACGGACCTGAGTATATTTTTAATATATCTTCCGTACCAAAGTGTCTATCCACTTTTGGTTTTTTATAGTCAAATAAACTTAACAAATACTGACCATAAAGTAAATAAAATTAATAATAGATATTGATACGAAAATAACTTCATTAGATTTATCTTATTAAATATTTTCAAAATTTTATTTTCTTTAATTCATAAATCATGTACAAATATTTTTATGTAATTATAGATTAGAGGTTGGTATCTGTTGCATTTTAGGAGGGAATATAACCTTAATATTTACGCATTTTATTATTAGGAAATAAGACTTTTTTTTTAAATCCGAGTAATTCGTTCGCAACAACTTTTTCATATCAAATCTTCAAAAATAAAGTTAGTAAAGCAATGCCTTTTAAATATAATGCTTTTTCATGATCGAAACTATTCTGCAATGACAACTTTGATCCAATTATGTGGTGTCTCTCACATGATGTTAGTCCATTAAACTTTATTATAATATACTTATTCCGCCTAGCAATAAAGTTTTCGTTCACTATTTAAATGGTCAAATTCTGATTTATTTTGTTGGCCTATTTTTGTGTCTTATTAGATAAGATAATATAGTCTTGTCACTATAGTTTTGTAGTTTTTAAATATGTAATCTGTAATTTTTATTTTTTTCTTGTCCTACAAAATCCTTTCCTATTTTATTAAAAAATTATTTTTACCCTTACCAATTCTTAACATAAATATCACATATTCACATCATACCTTTTTACTAATAGTCAACTCATAACATTCTATTTTTAACCACCACATTAAGAGTGTTTTTGGAAAGTCAACAAAAAATTATGATTCGTTAAAACCACAATAATTACATCGTTCAAACTCGTATTTGTTTTTATTTTTTACTTGTTTTTGAATTGGTGGCACTGATAATTGCAATATAATCTGAACATATATATACAGGCAAAACAAATGGACTGTCAAAGCTTGGAATGTTGGATGTTTGTATATGCGCTGGCTGGCTTGGTTCATAGGCTGTTATAACCATTAAATAATGTAAAATTTGCACTAAATAGGACTAAAACATAATGACTTTTCCATTGTAAGATTTAAACTTTTTAATTTCCTAAATAGGACTTAATAATGACCTAGTGGGAGGATTAATGTCCAGTAATAATGGACATTTACTTGAATAATGACTACTTGATAATGACCAAAAGTCCTACATTGGGAAATAAAAACATATAGTCTTATATTGGGAAAGTCATTATGTTTTAGTCCTATTTAGTTAAATTTCTCTAAAATAATCAATACTCGGTAACTTTTTCGTTATTATTATTATTATTATTAAATTTTAAGTAGCAGATTAAGATATTCATTTTATTACTGATGAATATAGTATATGCCAGAAATTCTATGTAAATACAATGTATTGTACTACTTACTATGTTTTAATTTGATGGTTATTTAGTGGACATTATTGTGTACGTAATAGTTGGTGTAACTAAATTATTAATCGTAATATATACTTTAGCATGTATACATTATTTTACGATAGTAAATGGCTAATTATTTACTCCATAATTATTCAAAACTCTTTATTTTTCACAGGTTCTCATGATCTCATCTCCTTTAATTTTCAACAGTTTTAATGATTTCTTTCCAGTTATATATTAATTCAAAGACTAGATGCTTAGGGTTATATTTTCTAAAAAACAGTTCACCAATTTTTGGGCATATTTTACAATCATAATTCTATGATCTTTTATTTCTTCGACTCTTTTGGAGAAACAATATCCGACTCTTAATATCTTTCCCTTTTTTGAAAATAATTTTTAGCACACTTTCATTTTTAAAACATTTTTAATCTCTATATTATAATAATGATTTTAATTTTAATGGAAATGATAGATGTCACAAGATTTAAAAAAATTGACATTATTTATCGGGGTTATTATAATTCTACTTCTTTTCTTATTTTCATTATTTGTTTGATAGAATAATATAATCATGTCACATTTTATTTTCTAAATATTTTGATCTAATTTTTTAAATTGGGATGGAAGGAATATTTTTTTGAGTTGTCATTTTTTACTTGTTTACCCATTTTCTCCTCTCCCTAATTAAAGAATGGATAAGCTCTATAATGAATATAATAAAAAATACAAAAGCTTTTTCTCTAATGATTTTTATCATGATGTAAAAGAAAGTTTTAGGTTCTTATTAGGCTAAAATCCACCATTGGTCCTTCAACTTTATCAATTATGCACGATTGGTACTTCAAGTTTCAAAAGTCCATAAATAGTCCTTCAACTTTATGAGTTTTGCATCATTGGTCCTTTAAGTTTCAAAAGTCCATAAGTAGTCCTTCAGGTACACGTCAGCCCTCCAGATTAAGTCCTTTTGACAGTAAATATTAAAAGTTAAACGAAATACTAGTTTCATATAATATGAGTAAATTCCACTAGGTACGACTACTCCGTATTATATGGAGCTAGTATTCCATTTAGTTTTTAACATTTACTGTCAAAAGGACCTCATCTGGAGGACTAACGTGTACTTGAAGGACTTGAAGGACCAATCGTGCATAACTCATAAAGTTGAAGGACTAACTATTTATGGACTTTTAAAACTTGAATGACCAATCGTGCACAATTGATAAAGTTGAAGGACCAATGATAGAGTTTAGCCTTCTTATTAGCCCTCAATTAAATTCCAAATGACGGGATATTATTGTGATCTTTTTATTTTTCCCCGATGAATGACTTGTTTCAATAAAGATCATGACTCCTAAAGAAACACAACCATCAATCATAAAGAAACTATTGGGTTGCATGTAGAGGCATACAAGTGTACCACCCCTTATTTTGTGGGAGATTAAAATTTAAGAATATACCTAGATATAAGTAAAATGACATCAAAATATCATAATAGAAGTGTCATTATTTTTATCCATAATTTGGAGTTTTGGTAGCGTGAATATGTGATGAATTAACACTGTGAATTTTGACAATGTAAATTAAAGGTGAACCACTAGTCAACAGTGGTCAACGCCGGCGACCCGCAGTGGAGCTCTGGTGGTATGTGACAATGTGGAAATAATAGTGTAACTCTTATTAGGTCACAAAAGGAATGTTACGTTATCCTAAATTTTGTATTTTCATTGTCTTTTTGCTCCTATTTTGCTCCTATTACAAATAATAGAACTTCCACACTGTTGCTGCCAGGATTCGACCTAAGATTAACGAGTTTGACATCATTTCCTTGGACCAATTGAGCTATCCATACGGGCGATTGCAATCTTTGTGTTCCAACTAAGGAGGGTGTTACGAAATTAACAAAATATTATTCTTATTTCCTTTTTTTACTTTTAGTATTTTCGGAAACACTAGAATTTAGGGAGAAATTGATCTTATTCTCTCTCCGTCATAAAATGATATTTCCAGTCACTGTTTACATGGTCAAACTTTAATCATTTTCTTTACCTATTTTCGTTAGTTATTTAATTAAATAATATAGTCATGTAACATCTTATTTTTTAGAACTTTTGATGTAGTTTTAAAATATAGTATAATCTTTAATTTTTAATTTTACACCTATAATCAAATAAATTGAATTGAAAATAATTTTAGTCAAACATCGTAAACTGAACTGGAAAGATCATTTTAGGACGGAACAAGTAACAATTTTTAATTTTATTACTCCATATTTTATTAATTTATCAAGAGAAAAAAAGTTAAGTGACTCATTCAATAATTTGATTGGGCAGCTACTTTAGACTACATCCCCGTCATCACGAACATGGATTGAGTACATGGTGACACACCACCTTTTCTCTTTTTTTTCTGAAAGGTAACCTCACAGATCTTTGTTCTCCATTGTGGATATGGGAAACAAGCAAGCAGACATGGCGACTTTTCAATTCTGATTCACCACAAATTCCATGTTAACCGTTAAGTTTTTTTTCCTTTGAAGCTTTTTTCTTCATTACTTTTAAAAAGAACGACTCAGATACAACATTATGCGCTAGCCACGGTCAGGCGTAGCTCAGCAATTGACGTTGAAGATGGTACAAAGGTGAGATTCTAAGTTCGAAATTTGATGACTCTGATATAGATAGACATGCACAAACACAGATTTTGGTCAGATTTGGACAAAGCTTGAGAGCAATTTCTGCCAGTATATCTGGGCGGGCGCCTGTGAAATTCGGACCAAACATCATGCTCATATCCACCCATGAAAGTGACCAAAGCGGACACTTGCGGCCCGGTTAGCAACCTTTAATATATACGGAGTTTATTTTTATAATACACGCTACCACTATTTATTTAATGTTCAAATTTCCAAAGGGATTTGTGACATGCAAGTAATTTTTTTAAAATTTAATTTATTTGAAAACTATTATAAGCTTGTAAAAAATAAGATGTGCATATTTAAAAATTACATTCAAAGTTTTTTAAAACAAAATATTTCATCCGTCCCATAGAAATGTTCCCGTTTTACTCCGTAACTTTTAAGGAATTTAGTAGAGAGACATTTTTGTTGACTTTCTTAAAATACCCTTGATCTGATGAGTAAAAGTAGGATATAATTGGTAGATTATAAGTAAAAATGTATGATATGATAGATTTGTTAAGAATTAGTATGAGTAAAAGTGAGTTTTTAATAGAAAAAAGATTTTGTGGGATAAGAACACATAGAAAGGGCAAGGAGTTTTTGGAACGGATGAAATAAAATATAAGTGTGTTATTTTATCAAATAATCAATATAAATCAAAAGTAAATAAAACCACAAAAAAATACTTCGTTTGGGGCCCTTTTGGGCCGGGGCTCTACATTTCTTCATTCGAAAAATTATTGGTTTGTATCCCTCTTATCTCATGTGGTAAAACCACCACCCCATAGGAGTTTTATATAATCTATTAACTTTGTAAGTACTTTAAATAAAATTTGAATTTACTCTAATTTTTTATTTAGTGACTGTTTCAAAATTAATTTTGTGATGTAATTTTTTAACTTCAAAATTAACAATGTGACAAAATAAATATTTCAAAAAAATAATAACTTTGACATTACATGCTCATTACAATAGGGGAAACATATACTTCTTCCGTACATAATTATTCTTCTCATTTCTTATTACGATCATTGATTGAAATTATTTTTATTTCTATTTACTTGATTATAAACATAAAATTCAAAAATAAAATTTATAACTTTAAAAACTAATGAAAAGTTTTACAAACACAAGTTGACATGACTATATTATACAATAGTATTATTCTATTATATTAAATGAGTAGTGTAAAAAAATAGAAACAAAAGGGGCCAAATTTGATTATATGATAATCTATAGCATGTAGAATACAGGGCATGATAAAAATATTTGACCCATATACAATGAAATTGCAAAATTACCTACACATAAAAAGTATTTTTAGGTGTAATATTTAGAAGTTTAAATTTTTTTATATACAATAATTTATACTCCGTATGACAAAACTATCAGAGACAGTAAATATTGGTGTAAACTAATGAAAAATGCAAGTTACATATAGTAGCGAGACTTGAGAGAATGAAACAGAGCAAAGAAATGAAAAAAATAAAATAGAGAACGAATTAAGAAGGAAAAAAAAAGAGTATTTAAATGAGGGCAAAATAAGAGGCATAAGTGGTGGGTTTATAGTTTCATCCTTTTTAAGAATTGTGGGGTACAAACTCTATCAATTATGGTAGCACAAAGCCACAAATATATACTATTATGAATTAAGTTACTTGTACACAAAAAAAATGCATCATACTCCAAATTGTATAATATACTTGTGCACCTTTGTATATTTTGTGTCAATGTGATACTAATGTGATAGTTCACTCAAACAGAAAATACTAGTGTAAAATTGTTTGATCGTACTAGTATTTTGTGATAGTGCAAAATATCAAAATTTTAGTGGATATCTTTTGATATATACTACCTCCGTTCCACAAAACCCTTCCGGTTTTGACTTTGGAGAAAAATAAGGAAAATGTAATTTTAGTTGACTTTCCAATTTTGCCCCTGATGTGATGAGAAAAAGTAAGATGTGATAGTTTGGTTATTAGTGAAAAAGTATGATATGATAGGTAGGGTATGAAAAAGTAGGGGTAAAAGTGGTTTTTTAATAGAAAGTAGAAGTGTTTTGTGGAAAGCAAAAAAATGAAACAGGAAAAGTTTTGTGGAACGGAGGGAGTACATTATATGTATATAAGCCCGCGCAAAACTCGAGATTATAACATTTATCATTAGGCATAGCTACCAATGCAATGGTTGAGTCGTGGACCTGCTTTTAACGTTTAATTTAGTGTCTGGATGTGAGCAGGTTATATCTATAGTTTAAATGATATACTCTATGACAAAATATTGATAAATTAATAAAATACTCATTCCATCCCTAGAAAATTTTTTCTTGTCTCAAACAATATGGAAAATTCTATCCATTTTGAAACAATTTTGTTTAGAAACATATATCAAAATAAAAAAATATAACTTACATTTTAAAAAACCACACTAATCAATTTTATTGGAAGAGTGATGTAGTAAAAAAACTGTGATGGAGTATCATTTTACATATATACCCTCAAGCCCGCCAAAAAACACAGCTTCCAAGCGGCATGACAAAGCAATTTCTAATTTGTGTTCGAGCACAGGCATGTTCACGGTGATTGATGCAGAGAGCTTGAGTACACGGTAAGAGAAGCTATCCCTGGATATGCAAATTGATGCAGAGCTTGAGTCTTTTAGCTAGCTAGCTACACTACTTCTACTCCGTATATTTCTTACGGAGTATTATTTAGGCTCCGTTCTGTTTAACTTATTTTTTCTGATCCGATTTGATTATTTGTAGTTTTGATCTGATATGATTCGATATGATCTACTCTGATCCGATCTGAATGGATTTGATTGGATCTGATTCGATCTGGTCTGATGTGATTGAATCTTATCTGGTCTGATATAATATGATTAATTATGATTTGATTTAAAATTCAAATCAATAATTTGATTTGACTTTATACGAACGTTTAAAAATTGTAATGACAATTCATATTATAATGTAATCAATATTTTTTATTTTATTATTATTTTTTAATAAAACAAAATTAGTTAATTCATATATGAGAATAATCATTCGTATTATAATGTAATAATAATTTTTATTTTATGAATATTTTATTTATATATGAGAATAATCATTCATATTATAATTTAATAATAATTTTTTTTATGAATATTTTTTTGTGAAATAACAATATGGATTTAGTATTTTAATTATTAGTTCATATATATACATTAGAATAAATATTTAATCTATATATACAATAAGAAGTAATTAAATTTAGATAATCAATATAGAGAAGAGATAGTATTTTTATTAAAATATTTCATCCTTATAAAAGATCAAAAGTTAGAAACTTAAATTACAGGTAGCAATAAAAATGTATTTTAAAAATAGAATTAGATTGACATTGTCAATGTATTTTAAAAGTAATTTTCCGATGTCTAGTAATTAAGGATTATTTTTTTAATTTTCTATTTAACTTGTTTCTAAAGTTTATCTTTTTTGATTTTTAAGAATAATAATAATACTAATAATACTCCATAATAATAATAATTTTTGATGGGATTTGATCTGGTTCGATCTGATCTGATCTAGTCTGTTCTGATTTTAATAGGAATAAAAAATAAAAAAAATAAGTTGAAATGAACTCGGCCTTAACGCTGTGTTTGGTTGGAGGTAGGTGAAGGTAGGGTGAGGTGAGATTTAGGAGTTACCTTGTTTGGGAAATCAAATAGGGGAAGGTAGACGGAGGTAGACTAGCCGCTTAACAGTGCAAAAAACCCGCCGCCGATTCAGCGGTAACTCAAGGTAAGTTTTGCGTTTCCCTTCCCTGTCCTCTTTCTTCCTCTTCTTCTTCTTATTTTTATTCTTCTTCTTCTTCTTTTTTAGCGACTATTTCTTCTCGAATTTCTCGGATTTGCGACTGTTTCTTCTTCTCGGATCTGATCTCCTCCAGGCCTTCAAACCCTATTGATTGTCGACGGCTTTCTTCCTGGTCGATTTTGCTTTCTTTCTCCGATCCCCACTTCCGATTTGATTTTGCTTTCTCCCCACTTCTTCAAAGTTCAAACCCTTTCAACTTTTTTCATATTTTTTGCTATATTTTTTTCTTTTTTATTTTTTTCCTGTTTTTTAATCATTGAAATTGAAATATCATGCTTTGACTTTTTCCCCTTGTTTTTCTTTTTGGGTTTTTTTGCAGTTTTCCCGTTTTTTGTTTTATTTTTTTGCAATTTTTTTAATTTTTTGAGTAAAAAATAAGGGCATATAAGTAAATTTGTTATTTTGCCTATCTCACATTAACTAATAAACATCCAAACACAATTTTTTAACTTGTTACCTTATGTTACCTACTTTCAATTACCTAACATTACCTACCTAATAAAATCATACCCTAAATCTTTAATCTACTTGGTTCTCTGGTAGGTGACCGCGGCGCATATAGGTCAAGCTCTGCGTTAATGGAGCATCAGAAGATTTCATGAGAAAAATGAGAGAATCGATGAACAACAGATCTTGGTACAGATGACGAAGGAAATGAAAACAATAGCTCACGGCGAATCATCCACTTCAGCGGAAATTGAACAGGATCGGATGAAACTATTGGAGGCACGTAATCCGAAACATCTACGTATATTTCAATCATGAGGCGGAATTTCCCCAATTCAGTGGAACTAATGCTCGGAAACAAGTCTTATTTAGGGTTTCAAAACCATGTGATAAAAATGTGTTGCTCTGAATTCAGATAGGTATGATCGTGTTGAGTTTATGATGTCTTAAACTATTACTAGTTATCTCAATTTCTTCTTGCATATTGTCTATTGCTGATCTTTGTGCTTGCTGTTACGATTTCATTCGATCACTTATTAGGTTGTGTGCTGCTTGATTTTTCTTTTCTTTTGTGTTTACTGCTTTCAGTTGGAGCGATTTTAGCTGTACTGATTTTATTTAATGAAATCGTTAATAAACTCAGCCCTAAAGGTTCTCATAGAATTTTGTCTTTGCATGTTTTTTCTTTATTACTCTGTGATACATCACAAGGGAGAGCCACACCCTAAAAGTTAGCCGTTAAGGTGGGAGAATCATAGTTTTCAGAACCGGACCGGCGATCGAACCGGTTGAGGTACTGGTTCACTGGTCGAACCAGTCGTTCGAATGGTTGAACCAGTGGTTCAAACATTTTTGAAAATTTAATATATATATATATATATATATATATATATATATCTGTGTGTGTGTATGTATGTATATATATATATATATATATATATATATATATATATATATATATATATATATATATATATATATATATATATATATAATACTTGTTCTATCTAAAAATAAGTTATATAAAATTTTTTATAAAATATGAGATTTTATTTTTTCAATAATTTGTCCAATGTTTTCAAAACTTTTTTAAATTGAATATTTCATTGATATGTACTATGTATTTGTAGAATCCGGAGTAGTTAAAAGTTTAAATCATAATTACAATATTATATTTTTTAATGTTTTATGAAAAGAAATCATTTTAATTTTTTTTTAATTACGAATTATATTAATGTATGACACAAGAGGAATCTAGCTAAGGTGGTTGGCGGGTGAATTTGTAGACCAGGAGATCTAGGGTTCGAATCCTTGCATGGTTTCATTTTGGAAGATTTTCGCCAAAAAAAAACAGGTTTCCAGTTCTCCCAGGCGGTTCCTTCCGGTTTTAACTGGTTCGCGCCGGTTCGTAGCTGAGGCCGGTCTTCTGGACCGGACCGGACCGGTTTGGTCACCGGTTCGTCGGTTCCCGGTCCGAACCGGCCGGTCCGGTCCGGTTTTTAAAACTATGGGGAGAACCCTTGGCTATATAAACCCATCACCAAGTTCCCCATTTAACCGGTGTGGGACAATGAAATCAGTCTGTATCACTCTGACAAGTATGATGATGTCTTTTATGTAATGGTTGTCAATGTGGATGCTTCTTTCTTTGAGAGGTTTCAAACACTTGGACAATTCATAATCGCAATGTTTACGAATGCTTTCTTGGCAGAGGCTTTATTGTAGCTCAAGTTTATGTTATGGTATGGCGTAGGGGCGTTCATTCGGTAAAACCAAACCAAACCAAGCTGAACCAAAATTTTAGTAAACCAAAAATGGATTGTGCTTGATATTAGGGACGATGGATTGATGGTGCTGCTTATTCCTTGAAATTTTCTTCCCATTTCCCACAAGGATTGAAGCTTGCTAAGCTGTGTGCCATGGACAGTTTTCAAGATATCTGCCCCTATTATATGCCTGTATTTTTTTGGTAAAAGATGCCAACGAAATCATTTCCCCTCATGTATATAACAAGTTTTGACGGATTTCGAAGACGACTGAGTTACTCATTCTGTAAGATCTCTTCTTTTAAATAGTAAAAAATCTATTTTCTATGTGTGCATGCATGTACTGAGACTGTACACTGTGTTTTGTTGAAATATAAAATATGTAGGAAACAACGTTATGGAGAAGCTGTAAAACTTAGGATTGGGCCACTGTTTGGCATATGTATCGCATTCAATCTCAGGTTAGATATTGATGTTTGATTTACATACTATAAATAGCTCGTATATGTATGTTGATATTTTATGGTTCTACAATTAGGTTGTTTTCTCGGAGCACGCATGATGTCTGGTTGAAGGCACTATGCACAACCGATGAAATGAAGTTTGAAGTAAAACCAGAGAGTGAAACCAACGAGAGCATACTAAGCATGCTCAACACCCTCAAATCCAAATTCCAATATGGTTTGGAAGTTGGGGTGCTTGATCAGCTTCTCGATGCTATTCGCAGGAAACAATCACCTGTCGCGGAACTGTCTCACATCAACAACCAAAGTGATTTTCTAGTAATTGGGCTTCTAGGTATGTCACTTGTACTTTATTCTTCAATTTCTTTCTTTTTTTGAACTGAATTACTTTAATATAAGAACAACAAAGTACAATGTCATAACAGAGCAACTAACAAAATACATTAATACATCCAACCATTGTGATATCTTAGCCAATATTTAATAATATCAGCACTATTTCTAACTGGTATTATTTCACCTTTATGGAGCTTGTGATTCCTGGCCCTCCAAATTGCATAGTGCACTGCTGCAGCTAGGGCTCCTTCTCTGTTTTTTTCTCTTCTTGGTCTTCTTTTCAATAGTTCAGTCACCATGTGGTCAACAGATCTGTAAGTTGTTCTTTTATGACACCACTCAGAGATCTCCTTGGACAGGTCCTTACTGTAAGAGCAATAAAAAAAGAGGTGCTGAATTGTTTCGTTGTTCTGACCACACAACATGCACCCAGGATCAATGCTCATGTACTTCACCAGTGTGTCCTTTGTGGCTAGTCTTCTCCTAAACATTAGCCATTGAAAGAATTTATGTTTAGGTTGGGACTCCTTATTCCAAACAAGACTACTCCAAGTTGAGGTGTTATTCCTTTCCATTAGATGTTTATAACCCTCCCTGGGAGTATATTTCATGTTCCTTGGAAAATCCCTAAAAAGTTCCTTGCATTTGTTCAGTTGTTTCCAGTAGTAGCAAATGTCCTTTCTTTCTCCATATTCCCATATGTTTTTCCCTTTCATATATCTGGCATAGATCCATTTGACCCATAAAATGTCCTTATTTTCAATCTCCCATATTAGTTTCATCCCCACTGCTCTATTCAAGAGTACCAAATTCTTGATGCCAAGTCCTCCATTTGTTTTTGGTGTAGATATATCTTCCCATGCCACCTGAGCATTCCTCCTCTTACCTTGGTTAGAGCCCCACAGGAATTTACAGCAGATACTTTGTATTTTCTTCATCACCTTATTAAATTTGATGGTCCATTCATCATTAGTGATGACTCTATCCAATTTAGAGTAGATTCTGCCTTCTTTCTGCTGCTTATTATTCCAGGTGTAAAATCCCCCTTCTACTGGTAAGTCTTCAAGCCCATTCCTATCAAGACAGTCATTGAAATCCCTTATTTCATCCTCAGTCACAGGGTTACCTCCTATCCTATCAAAGGTGGACAGAACAGTGTTGAAGTCTCCCAATAAACACCAAGGTTCTTTGATCCCAGTCGCCAAGCTGTCAATCATGTCCCTGAGTTCTTTCCTCTTAATCTCATCATTATAGCCATATACAAAGGAAAGGAATTGAAAGGTTTGTTCCCCTCTGTACCTGACCATACAGTGCACCATTTGAGCAGAAGACTTGATAATGATAAGCTCCACTTTAGTGATATTCCAAATGATCCAAATCCTCCCAAGAGGATGATCATTATTGTTGATGTAAGATCCCCATCCATTGAATAGTTTACTCTCAATCTTTTTAAAATAACTATCTTTAGTTTTTGTCTCAAGCATTCCAAAAACATCAAACTGGTATTTATTTACAAAATCACTGATACCTTCTTGTTTACCGAGGCCATTCAGCCCCCTAACATTCCAGACACCTAACATGAAGATGAGGTTGGTGCCCTTCTTGCTGGGCCTCTCTGAATTCTCTATATTTATTCAGATCACCATATCTTCTTTCCTTTGTTGTGGGGGATCTTCTTGCGGCTTTCCTTCCACTAACATTCTGAAATGCTTCTTGATTACCGTCCTCTATTTCCCCTTCATTTGAGATGTCCTTTTCCTCCTTTTGCATCTTTTCCTGGGCCCTTTTCCACACAATTCTCCTCTGCACTGGTTTTTGGTTCTTCTTTTTACAAGTCTCCTCCTCATGCCCAAGTTTCTTACAATGATTGCAAAGTGATGGTTTCCATTCATACACAATCTCTTGTGTAATCAGTCTCCCATACTCATCCATGTAATTAATCTCCTTGGGAAATTCCTGCTTGGCATGTACTTCAACTTGGATCCTTGCATATTCAAGTTTTGTTCTTGTGGCTGTTGCATTGTCTCTTTTAATTGGCCTCCCAATAAGACTCCCCAGTTTACTAAGTCCCGAGGTGCTCCAGTATTTTATATTCAGAGAGGGAAACTGAATCCAAATGGGAATGTCTTGCAGCTCATTAGGTTCAAATTTAAGCCCTGGAGACCATTCCATTACTAGCATAGGTTTGTTGTCAAATTGGTAATATTTCCTCTTGATGACTTCATTCTTGTCTTCCTTCTTATTAAATAGAATAATAAACTGGGCTTCTTTCAGCAAGATAACATCATCAATCTCGTAGTTCCTCGAGATCCTGTGCACAAATCCTTTGACAACCTCTAATGGGGGGTTTGCTCCAAGGATGCAACAGATGATGGCTGAGTCCCAACTCCCGTTGGCTTGGATAACATCATCCCCCATCATGGTTGCAATCTTTTGTGCATTGATCTCCAAGCCCTCCACAAATTCCAGATTGAGCATCATATTATCCCCAACTGCATCTGCGAAGGTCTTCTTCTTTGGGCTAGGTGTTTCTTCTAGACACGATATTGTGTTCTTCCCCTGGTCCGATTCTTTTCCAACCAAACCTTCTGTTGGCTGGCTGCGATTTGGGGTAATACATGTGTCTGCATCATCTTTCTTGGCCTGATTAGCGTTGGTTTGGTTCTTCAGCTTCCCTAGTTTCCTCGTTGCCATTGCAGAGCAAACACTAGCCTTCTCTAAGAGTCTTCTTATTCTTCCAGGTGTAAAATCCCCCTTCTACTGGTAAGTCTTCAAGCCCATTCTTATCAAGACAGTCATTGAAATCCCTTATTTCATCCTCAGTCATAGGGTTACCTCCTATCCTATCAAAGGTGGATAGAATAGTGTATTTTTCAATTTTCTTTTTCTGTAAAGTTGATTGAACGTGGTTCCGAGTTTTTGTGCAGTTGATATTGTTACCCTTTTCATCCCATTCTACCTTGAGGCTTTTTGTTGGCATGTTCAGTTTTGGTGATGGTAAAGAATTTCTTTGTCCTTGCTCTTGGTTGTGTTTGTGATGAGAACGAGATATGTAACTGGCAGGGAAAGAGGGCTTTGGCAATGCCGAGGGATGTTGGATAGAAAGGAGTATGCCATTAAGCAAATACACTTCTTAGGGACTGGTCGTGATGCTGTCTTGAAAGAAGTAGAGATTCTATGCTCGATGCACCATGAGAATATCGTGCGGTATTTCCAAGTATGTTTGTTGCTCATTCGATGATAATTTTTGTAAATTGAATGTTTTTCAAACTTGTTTTGTCTTGTTTTGTTTTGTCGACAGTCTTGGATTCGCGATGGCATCCAGGAGTTGGCGTTGCCTCGGAGCGTTAGCGATGCCTTTGGTGTGAGTGAGGATGACTCTGAGGAGAGCATTGCCAGTGAGCTAGCAGATTCCACATTATATATAGCTATGGAATACTGCCCAATGACATTGAACTAGCTGATCAAAGAAGGAGTTGATTTCAATGCGGCATTAAAGTTTTTTAAACAACTCTTGGAGGCCTTGGTTTATATACACACTAAGGGTATAATTCATAGGGATATATCAAGAGATAACATTTTTGTGGATCTTAGCGGGAATTTGAAGCTTGGGGACTTTGGGATAGGTATGTGGTATGAATTAATAAGTACGTATTTGTATTTGTGAGTTTTCCATGAGATGAAACTTGGGTTTGTATGATGCAGCAATGAGACTAGGAGATGCGGTGTTTTGCACGGGAGGCAATCAAGAGTACTTGGCTCCCGAGCTCGATATGTAGCGTAGTCCCACTTCGGTATCCACAAAGGCCGACATATTTTCATGAGGCCTGGTATTCATAGAGTTGCTGTACCATATGGACACTGAAAGCAAGCGATTCCAAGTGTTTAAGAATGTCTCATTGTTGCATCATACAAACCCAAGTTTCATCTCATGTAAAACTCACAAATACAAACACGTACTTATTAATTCATACCACATAACTATCCCAAATTCCCAAGCTTCAAATTCCCGCTCAGATCCACAAAAATGTTATCTCTTGATATATCCCTATGAATTATACCCTTAGTGTGTATACAAATCAAGGCCTCCAAGAGTTGTTTAAACAACTTTAATGCCGCATTGAAATCAACTCCTTCTTTGATCAGCTGGTTCAATGTCCTTGGCAGTATTCCATAGCTATATATAATGTGGAACTTGCTTGCTCACTGGCAATGCTCTCTCCTCAGAGTCATCCTCGCTCACACCAAAGGCATCGCTAGCGCTCCGAGGCAACGCCAACTCCTGGATGCCATCACGAATCCAAGACTGTGAACAAAACAAAACAAGTTTGAAAAACATTCAATTTACAAAAAAATATCATCGAATGAGCAACAGACATACTTGGAAATACCGCACAATATTCTCATGGTGCATCGTGCATAGAATCTCTACTTCTTTCAAGATAGCATCACGACCAGCCCCTAAGAAGTGTATTTGCTTAATGGCGTACTCCTTTCTATCCAACATCCCTCGGCAGTGTTACACTGCCAAAGCCCCCTTTCCCTGCCAGTCACATATCTCGTTCTCATCACAAACACAACCAAGAGCAAGGACAAAAAAATTCTTTACCATCACCAAAACTTCGGTATCCACAAAGGCCGACATATTTTCATGAGGCTTGGTATTCATAGAGTTGTTGTACCATATGGACACTGAAAGCGAGCGATTCCAAGTGTTTAAGAATGCTAGGAAAGGGGACTTTCCTCGAGGCTTGCAGGACCACATTGGACCCCGGGCAATTGAGTCCCTAACGTTCTTCCTACACCAAGATGCAAACGAGCGACCTACTGCAGAAACAGCCTTGGAGTGGCTATCAGACAACTTCTAAAATTCTGCAGTGCCATCCATATAACTCTTCTTTAGTTTTCTGTTAATGTTCTTCTGTGCTCCTATTCCATCCATATAATTACCCCTTAGCATGCATTATTGTTCTTCTGTGTTCTTTTAAACATTCAAGTCTGTGCAGTGTATATATCCTACATGGTTGCACTGAGAAACATACACAACTTTGATATGTTATCTGATGGTAATATACATATGAACTTGTTGCTCTTGGACTTGAGGAGAGGATCCTAACTTGTCTTTCATGAGTTTCAGTGAGCCATGCTCTGATTTCCATCCATGTAACTCTGCTTTAGTTTTCTGATCATGTGCTGTGTTCTTTTATTTCAAACCTTTGCTCCTTTCCATCTTGCTAATACAGAGATTTCCTCTACATGTGGACTACTATTTTCAGTATGTCTGTAATATGTATCTAATCCCATTGAAGTTTCTAATTTTTTACGAGTAGTCTTTTATGAGAAGACTTTAATTTTAGTAGCTTAGCTACAAAAAAAAGAGGAAAGAAATTGAGTTTATTAACATTAGTTTAAAAACAATTACAAAAGAATTTCATGTTACTATTAGGATTTTACATATTTTTATTTTAGCTTTTCACTAAAATAGGTATGATAATCGGTAACTAGAATGAGACTTATCTGAATTTGTATATACAACCACTAGTTCACCCATTTTTGCTTGCCCTTGAGTTTATGTCGATTACAATTTTGATTAACACCTTTAATTAACTACTCCGTATGTTAAAGTTGCTTATTCAGGATAGATTCAAATACACTAAATACTACTCCCTCCGTCCCAATTTATAGTGCATGTTTACTATTCATAGGATCAAACTTTATTCACTTTTTTTTCTCTATTTTCGTTAGCAATTTGATAAAATAAAATATTATTGTCACCACTAGTTTTGTAGATCTTTTGATGTAGTATTTTAATACGTAATTTGTATTTTTTAACTCTATCATTTGTCATATAAAATGATTTGAAAATAATTTCAGTCAAACATCGTAAACCAAAACAGACACTATAAATTGGGACGGAGGGAGTGATTCACTTTAATTGAAATATAGATTTGAATATTACCATTTTAATTAGTTTTTTTATTTTCTACCAATAAAAAAATTCACATTTTTTTATTGTGGTTGCCAAAAAAGAAGTTGATATTTAGCCTTTTGTGAGTTTAGTTTAAAGAACTCATCTTTGATCGTATATGAGAGTTAGTACAATTTAAATTTGGATGTATGTTGTATGATCTTTGAAGTATTTGTCATATGCAAATTTACTAGTTACATACATTACTTTGAGCACGGATATCACAAGGAAGTGTATTTGTTAACTTTATTGCTAAACTTTTGTATCTTTTAGCTAAACAAGCAAAAAAGAGTAAATCACACCACATTGTTCGTTTTAGGTGACCTTACTCAACGAAAACATATTACACGTTAATTCAAAAAATTATACAACGTAACTGTAAATAGATTATTTTATACGGAGTAATAAAAAAATAAACTTAGATATTTAAGTGCAAAAAAATATAAATGTAGTTATTTTAACACAATTATATATATATATATATATATATATATATATATATATATATATATATATATATATATATATATATATATATATAGATAATATATACATACATACATACATACATACATACATACATATATACATATATATACATATATACATACATACATACATACATACATACATACATACATACATACATACATATATATATATATATATATATATATATATATATATATATATATATATATAATTGTGTTAAAATAACTACATTTATATTAATCTCCTATATATATCAAAGTTACTTATTTTTCTTTCAACTCAAATATTAATCTCCTACTTTAAGAGCTTGTTCTTTTCAATTGAAAAAGTTAAGTTTCACTTCTTCTAACCTTTTTTAATTTTTTCAAATCCTTACAATTTATTTCACATTGATGATTTGATGATGATGAAGAAAACGGGCCTAGGGGCATCCGCATTGAAGCAGGGCCTAAATAAATGAACAAAAATGATAGGGTACCCCAAATCTTGTACCTTATTTGTATCCCCTCTATCTCTACCACACAAAAGCAGATAAGAAAAAAAAAAAAATCTGAAAGGAAATCAATGGCTGGGTTTTTTGGGGTACAAATATAGAGTATATATAATTTTATAAGAATACTTCGAAAATTAATTAATCACAATATTACTTTCAAAAATGCTACTCCCTCCGTCCCTGTATCTGTCCACATTTGACTTTTGGAACTGTTCATCTAAGCACTTTGACTCATCAAATTCTCTCAATGTGTAAGCCTAAATATAGTCATGTGTGATCTTGTTTGATTTGTCTTAACATATATATTATTAATATATAATTTTTATGATTTTACAAGATAAAATGGATTAAAGAAGTGCATTGGATGATGTGCAAAAATGAAAGTAGACAAATACAGAGGGACGGAGGGAGTATCTTTTTACAAAAATACTAAATGGATTTTTAAAATAATGATTTGAAAAAGTTCTTATTTTGAATCTCATAAAAAATTAAATTATTTATTCCTCTTTCAATTCAAATATCAAACACGTCCATCAAAATTAGAGTATGTCATTTTTTATAGGAATTCTAAAGTTGAATGGTGAAATAAACTGTAAGGATTTGAAAAAATTAAAAAAGGTTAGAAGAAGTGGAACTTAACTTTTTCAATTGAAAAGAACAAGCTCTTTTAAAGTAGGAGATTAATATTTGAGTTGAAAGAAAAATACTACCTCTGTCTCATTTTATAATGCCTGTTTTGGTTTACGATGTTTGACTGAAATTATTTTCAAACTATTTTATATGACAAATGATATAGAATTAAAAAATAAAAATTACATATTAAAAAACTACATCAAAAGATCTACAAAACTAGTAGTGACAATAATATTTTATTTTATCAAATTTCTAATGAAAATAGAGAATGAAAGTGAATGAAGTTTGACCATGTGAATAGTAAACAAGCATTATAATTTGGGATGGAGGGAGTAAGTAACTTGTTTTTTGTATGGAAATTGAAAAAAGTTATTTATTTTCTCTGTAATCAGTTTAAAAATTAATGTAGAATTCCATAATATGATTATGTAAGGGAGATGCAAGGTGAAGTATTTTTGTAAAAATAAAGCAATTATGGGAGTAATAGTGTAATTAATTAATTTTCAGAGTATTCTTGGAAAATTAGTAATTTTACGGAGTAATGCTGTAAAATTTTCCTTAAAAGAAGTATTAATAAAATACTCCTTCAGTCCAAAATGGACACAAATAATTACTCCTATTCAAATTAAGTTGCATGTTTATTATTCACTGTTCAATTTTATTTACTTTTTTCTCAATTTTTGATACTCATTTACTAAAATAAAATAATATAGTCACGTGACCTTTTAATTCGAAGAACTTTTTATCTAATTTTCTAGTTTGTAAATATTATTTTTTTAATTTTTCTTCAAATATCATAAACCAAAACAGACGATTCAAATTGAGACAGAGTGAATGTTTCATTTTTAATACAATTATTTTAAGTTATTTATTGACATAAAATAATTTTACGAACAAGACTTGGAATACAAGATATGAAGACTTGTTTGGACGAGGTAAGAAAATGAGAGGAAAGAAAATAGGAAAAAAAGTTAGAGAAGGAAGATGCAGCTTTCTCACCTATATTGGAGAGAAAACTTTTCATGACTAATTTTCTCTCCTCCCCCGTTTCGCATCAAAACAAACAATAGAAAATGCTTTGAAATAGGAATATGTGTTTTCTCACTTTAAAATCAGGATTATGATTATAAATGATTGATATTAGGATTAGGATTATAATTAGAATTAAGATTAGGATTAAAACTAAGATTTTGATTAGGATTAGAATTAAGATTATACTCCCTCCGTCCAAAATTAAACTTTACATTACGCGTTACGATGTTTGACTGAAGTTATTTTCAAATCATTTTATATGAAAAATGGCGTAGAATTAAAAAATACAAATTACATATTAAAAAACTATATCAAAAGATTTACAAAACTAGAGGTGACATGATTATATTATTTTATCAAATGAGTGACGAAAATAGGCTAACAAAGTGAATAAAATTTGACCCTGTGAATAGTGAACGTAAAGTTTATTTGTGGACGGAGGGAGTACTTGAGATTAAGGGATTAGGATTAAAATTAAGGGATTAGAATTAAAATTAGAAATATGATTAGCATTAGACAAATTAGCTTGGATGAAATGATCATCTTCTAGATTAACTTTTAGGGTCCGTTTGGTATACGGAATTGGTGGAATTGGAATTGAATTGGAATTAGGATTCCATGAGATTCAATTCCATAGAATTGAATTTACCAATTTCAATTCATTTTTTGCACTATCAATTCCAAATCCACGTAATAATTATGCTACCAAACACTAGAATTGGAATTGAAGTCCTCAATTCCAATTTCATAATTTGAATTCCATGTACCAAACGGGGCCTTAGTGAAATTTGCAGTAAATAGGACTAAAACATAATGACTTTCCTAATGTAGGACTTAAACTTTTTTATTCCCTAAATAGGACTTATTAATGACCTAGTGGAAGGAATAATGTCCAGTAATGATTGATATTTAGTTGAATAATGACTAATGAGCAAAGGTCCTACATTGAGAAATAAAAACATATAGTCTTATATTGGAAAAGTCATTATGTTTTAGTCCTATTTAAGTAAATTTCTCTAACTTTTAATTCTAACAAGTGCAATACAATAAGCACTGGCCCAACCCAATATTTGGGGCTTGGATCAAAAAACCAAAAATCAGAAGTCCAGAAGCTTCTCTTTGCTACCTTCATCTTCCCGTCTCTCACTCTATATACACAGCTGAAGCCGCTCTCCAGTACCTTCTCGAGACACCTCGATCGACTTACACATCATCAGCATCAATTTCCCATTGTTTCGTCTCTCTTCAACTAGTTATTGAATCCAGATTTGGCCGATAACCGAAGCGATCGTCGGGAAAATGGCCGGAGCGCGCGCAGCGGAGGAGCTCGCAATGGACCTGGATGAACTGAAAGAGCTTCGAAGGCTTGCCAAGAGGCCGCACGTTCTCTCTCTCATTTCGTCTGAGATCCGCAACTTGGAAAAGGTCATTTTCTAGCTCCTGTAATCTGTAGGGATTGCGATTTATGGTTTTACTGTTTTTTTAAGTATTTCAGTTGTTAGTTTAGTCAGAAAGATCTTCAAATATATATTTATTTGTTTGAATATCTTGTTTTCTATTGTTATTGTGTTGCAAATATTAATGTTGATGCGATGCTTCTTGTTAAAATATTAGAACAGTTTAAGGAAAACCTAAACACTTTTTTTTTCATTATTTTTCCTAAATTAATTGATCGCTTATAATATTATTATTCAATACAGTGATTATTATGAATTTTCTAAGATATAATAGACTTACGGTATGAACATATGAACTCCGAAGGACTTATTTTACAGTTTAAACTCATTTTTAAATAAATAATTAAAGAAGACAATTAAATCTGAAAAGAGAGCGTTTAAAATATTTCTGGGAATGGGATCATTAGGCCTTAGACATGGGTTTTCAAAATGACACTTCCCTGTTAAGCTATAGAATGGAATTTAACCTTACCGAGACGTGAGTTAATCATTGAAATGAGACCAAATGTGACTTTAACATTGTTTGTGGTAGTTTCTTCATACTTGGGTTGTTTTATGCATTGGTGATACTTGGGTTGTGAAAGTAGTCTTTCTGTTCTATGCGAATTTTCTACGGGTGTTGAAAATCTGTGTACGCCATTTTGCCTCATTGTTGTCTAAACTGAATCTCCTTTGCTGAAGCAGCTTTCAAATGAGGCGAGCTCAGTTCCTCAGGTGCCGACCCCAATTTCAACTGCACCAAAAGCTGTCCCTAACCCAGCACTGAGCTATGCAACACTTGCAACATTTAGCTGGGATCAGGACAGTGACAAAGTAAAGGTAGGAGATTGATTAAAGGCGTCTTGATTCTCTATACTAAGTTATATATTCATTATAACTAGAGTTTTTGTGTTAAGTGGTTATCTTTGTGACTAGACAACACATCATTGTGTTGGATGGATAGAACTTCAGGGAAAAACAAAAGATATTTCTTTTTTTTTTCATGTTTTTTTTATATTTTCTGCAAGTGCTATAAAAGATATGTATGACGAACATCTTTGTAAAAGTTTATTTTTTATATTTATTCGTACTCAGTATATACTTATTTTCAAGACTGAAATTTAAATATGTACAGGACATAAAAGATAGTAAAGCATATTTCATCTATCTTTATTTTTCAGGATCAAGCATAACATAAGTAATAGCTGTTCTTAGCATTTCCCCTGTTTCCTAGCATTTTTTCAGTTGCAAAGGCCTATTAATTGGCATCTGGGAGAGCTTCAAAAATAATTTGCTTTTGAGGATGCAATTTTAGGTTCAACTTCATTAGTAGCACAAATTTAACTGTGATTATTTGAATTTTGCTTTCTAGATTTATCTCTCCTTGGAAGGAGTTGATCAGGAGAAAATGGAGACAGACTTCAAACAAATGTCTGTTGATGTTAAATTCCATGGCGTGCATGGAAAGAACTACCGTTTCTCTGTACCAAAGTTGAACAAGGAGATAGTTCCTGAGAGGTGTAAGGTAATGGTAAAACCCACTAGGGTAGTACTCACCTTGCCAAAAGCATCTCAAGGAAACTGGCTTAATTTGCACTACAAAGAGGACAAGGTAAATGGCCTTTAACCATACCTCTAAGCGCACCAATATGAGGTTATATTAATTGTATGTTTTTTTGTGAAGTTTTATAAAATTTTCTGCCCCCTTGACATGCAGTTTAAGCCAAGTGTTGACAAAGAAAAGGATCCCATGGCTGGAATAATGGATTTGATGAAGGTAATTCCTTTTTTTTTGTTGTCAAAACATTAGTCTTTTTTTTCTCAGATCGATCTACACGGCTTATATTACATATACTTGTTTTTTAATGTTCAGAATATGTACGAGGATGGGGACGATGAAATGAAACGAACCATCGCAAAAGCCTGGTCAGATTCTAGATCTGGAAAAGTAGCCGATCCCCTCAAAGGTTACCCATGAACTTGAGGAGAGTTCGTTTTTTGAAGGTCCCCTGCAGAGTTTTGTGGCATTTAAAGATTTTAGCTTATCTTGTTCTGTCCTTGCTGCTTTTGACCAACAATGCCAAGTACTCTCATTGAGATGGTTTGTGTTGCGCTCATCTTTGTGCTAAAACTTTCAGTGGAATTCTATTTTGGCTATTGACTCCAACACTGTTATCACTTTAATTCTTGACCATTAAATAATGTGTAGTCATGGAGCCTCATGAGAGGGACGATATCCACCATGTGGGTGCCACCCCATCAAGGGGCTCCATGACTTCAACAAGTAAACAGGCGAGATGTAAAGATATGATTACATGAAGCGGTCCGGTTTCATTGCCATTGGACAATGGTGCCATTGACTTTTTGGATTCATTCGGATGATTCTTATCTTCTCTAACCACCCTAAATCTCCCACCTTTGCCCTCCAACCCAGCCGCCCACTTTATGTTCATAGGAATGTGTCTAGGAAAATATGTTATCAATACTTGTGTCTCTACTTTGGCCTTGTTTGGATGTTGGCTGTCGGTTGTCTCCATATGTGTTGTTTGGGAAACACATGAGAGGCTTATAAACCAAATGAGCTCTATCAATTAGTCTTTTAGGATGAGTTCTCTTGGTCGGTCTGTCCGAATTGCTTTGATAAAGAGACCCCCAACCAATCCTTGGAGAACCGATGCCACCCTTGAAAATAAAAATCTTTCCTCTTGAGGCAGATTTCAACTGATGCTCTCATGCCTAAACCAGCCACAGAATAGAAACCACGCGGTGGAAGTTACCACTTACGATTGGATAAGAGTCGGGGAAATGAGCAATAAGACACTCAGATTAAATTACACTCGTATGAAAAGTTGAATCCAATAGAATATCTAATTCAACTTAATGCCTTGTTAAAACTCATTGTTTTGGTTATATTTACACCCATTTTGTTTGTGATAGAAGCACACTAGTATAACTAAAATTGATGGTTCCAAACTCACTGCTATAATTGGTATCAAAATGATACAACCCCATATTTATTGCCTTATTTGTATCAAAATGATACAACCCCATATTAGAGGGTGCTTGAGACTAATTTTAAAAATGATTCTCAATTTTTGCTTTGAATCAAAGCAATTTGGGATAATATTAAGCAATTTTTAATGACAGAAGCAAAAACAAATAACTTTAAGATAACTTTTAGTTCTATTGTCAAAATAATCACTTTTCAAAAAAAGGAAGCACAACCAAACACCCACTTATTATCATATATCAACACTTAAAATCATATCAATAACAACCCTCTTAGCATCAAATACATGTCGACACTTGAAATAATAATAATAATAATAATAATAATAATAATAATAATAATAATAATAATAATAATAATAATAATAATAATAATAATAATAATACTTCCTCCATCCCAATTTATTGTGCATGTTCACTATTCACAGGGTCAAATTTCATTCACTTTCTTTATCTATTTTCGTTAGTAATTTAATAAAATAAAATACTATCGTCACTACTAGTTTTGTAAATCTTTTGATGTAGTATTTTAAATTGTATTTTTTATTTTTTAACTCTATACCATTTGTCATAAAATTATTTGAAAATAATTTCAATCAAACATCGTAAATCGAAACATGCACTATAAATTGGGACGGAAGAAAAGGTCAAGTCTAGTATAACAATATTTCTTTACACTAGATGTCACAACAACAGGAGCAACAACAACATCCCAGTACAAGAGAGTTGAATGCCTTTTTTTAGACTAGATGTCATACATTCAAGTAATGATAAAATTACGCACAAACAAATTGAAGTAAAAGTACAAGAGAGTTGAATGCTTTCTACTGGAGTACTTGGCTGCCATAATCATCGTTGAACTTATCATAACGATGGGCGTGGAGATGAGCAGAAGGTCGTGTGTTCTTCAAGGCTACCTTAATATCGCCTTCTGTGATCGGTCCCACTTTTGGCAACTCTGCACGAAATAACGCCTTTTAGTGCAACAGATTGTAAAGAAAGAGATGGTTTTTGAACAATAACAACTAGAGGCAGAACAAAGCAGTCAAATACTTGTATGAGCTCAAGTGGAAATTATTTTTTGTTGTTTGGTTAAAAGAAAAGAAAAGTAGAAGGAAAAGAAAATGACAAACCAAAATGTACTAATAAGATGAAAAACCAAACTCCTATCATTTTGGCAAGGAAAATGAGAGAACATTTTTTCTTTTCTTTTCCTTCCGAATTCCTTGAACCAAACATAGTGTTAAGTTTCATAGTTCCGCAAGAAGTGAGATTCATTATTGCATTAAATGAAATTTCATCATCCCATATGCCATCAGCTTCTCCTTGTAGAAGCATGATTTTGCTGCCTTCTTCAATGAGTTGAAGGACAAAAAGATGTGCTACAATGATGCCTGGGTTTAAAAACTTCTCTACATCAAAAGCACAATCCTTTATCCCTTCATTGTTGCCTCAAGGTATCAGCCATGTTTGGCTTAAGTGGCACCAATGAAGATGGAAGCATCTTTACCTTGTTCAGAAGTTCCTTTGTAGTCCTTTCCATCATGTACCACTTTTTCATATGAAATTAAAATTACTAGTAGGATCTGGTCTGAGTGTGAGGCGGGTTTAGACCCGCTTGACTTCTCCAACTCCAGGGCTAAACTGAATGCTCGATACACTCTGCAAGGTTTGTGTAGTCTCACCTCTGTATTCTATGATCAGGCCAGTTTTTCACACGACCCACTCTCTTTGCCCAGACTTCATTCAGTACATTGAGTTTTGCGGCAATGGCTGCCAAGTGATCAACTCAAAAGACTGGTTACCTCAGGAGGCTTCAATGGTGGCAGCAGCAGATGATGATCGTGTGCCAACCATTTCAGATCAATTGGTTGTAAAAACAAATTGGTAGAAACCAAAAACTGGAAACTAAAAACAGGTAGAACAAATCTTCTAAACCTCTTTACATCAAGAATCTCAATTAATAGTAACTAAGAAGCTCAAGAAAAACTCTGGAAATATAAACCTTAGTATTTCTCCCCATTTCATACAGATGTGACTAGTATTCATATATAGACCCTGGCTCCATAACTTACTGACTCCTGGAAATAACTGACTCTATAACATGGAAAGAACGGACTCCATAACTCTATAACTTACAGACTTTGTCTCTGTTTGGCAACAAAGTTAGAGTTTAGCATTAGCATTTTGAAAAAGGCTATGTAACGGTAGACTTTAGCATTAGCATTTCCAAAATTAATCAACACCATTAAATTTTAATCCAAAACACTAAAGCTAATTGAAGACGTTGTTCCCAAACAAAGCCTATATTGACCAAGTCTTTAGGCCATACACCAAAGACTTCATTAATTGAAATATTTAATAATAAGAAATTAACAACAATAAAATATAACTGGTTAATAATATAATGTCCTTAACAAGACTCGGTTAACCTCCACTACATTCTAGGATCTTATCACTTGTCAGTAACTCCGTGGGGTCAATAATTGTCCCTAGAGATTCAAGCTCTGGGAAGTTTTGTTTTTTTGTATCCTTCGTGCATGCATATGTGACTTGAGAGGGCTTCTTGTTTATTACTTTTATTTTGTGATAAAGTGACACGAGAGGGTTAAAAGCATAAAATGTCTCAAAATAATTTCTTTCCTCATTTTCATAGCTTTCAATGTTTTTGGTAACTTCTCCTTCTCTTCACAATGTGTCAAGCGAAAAGTCACCAAAATCATAGGAAAAAAGTGGGAAGCAGAAAATGAAAGTTCATTTATTCAATTTAATGTTTATCTCTCTCCTTTCACATGCTTATAGTGAACATTAATGCCTCGGAAATGCAATGTAGATCACAATATGTCTGTCGGACAAAAAAAACATGTTCCATAGAACTAAGATAAAGGAAAAGTTAAAACAAAGAGATGCTAAAATGTGATGGCATACCTTCCTCAGGCAACACCTCTTGCTTGTCTTCAAGTGATGCCATTAACCTTCTCAATGGCTGCATAGCTGCTTCCTTGCATAACAAACGAATATCAGAACCGGAATAGCCTTCTGTCTTTTCCACCAACAAGTCATATGGCAGAATATCTCCATCAGATGCTGATGGCAGTAATTCCTCAAACATGGCTTTCCTAGCTTCAGGCTCTGGTAGGGGTACTAAAATCTATCATCAAAGTAGATGGTAAAGTTTTAATGTTGCATTCATCGCAATCGTGTACTAAGCCAGAACATTTTATGAAGAAAATAATCTAAACCCTCAATACTTTTCACTTTACATTCAGGGTCCGTTTGGAAATCAGAAAATGATAGGGAAAGATTAAGAGACAATTTGGAAAGATAATTAAATTATGGGGGAAAATTAAACATTGCTCCAGACTCAATAAGTTTATTTTTTGAAAGATAATATAATATGGAATATAAAGATGGTATAAAGAATAAGACATCCAAACATATGCACGACTTAGGTTTTTTTTCCATTTTCCTTTGGATTCTACGAGGTTAAATAGAACATAAGAAAAAAACTTCTCATAGAATTGTTTCTCCTTTCCCTAGCATCTTTCCAGTAACAAGCATACCCTAAATGATATATTAAATGTGTGCGGTGCATGAGATGAAATCATGTCTTGTAAAAACCATAGATATATCAAATTGGTTTAGATATATACCCGCTTCTCTAGACGTCGAAGCATAGCAGCATCTAGCTCCCAAGGAAGGTTGGTGGCCGCCAAAACAAAAACCAGTGCATCACTTCGCGTCAAGCCATCCATCTGCAATCTAATCCCATCATTATTCATGAGAAGTAAAATACAAATTAAAGTTTATTGATTTTGTCTAAATTTTATGCAGTGTTACCCACTTACCCCACAATAGCAACTTAAGATAATCCTACACCATGGTTAGAAGTCAGATAGTAATACAAGAATTATATATGCCCTATTCAGCAACCAGCTAACAGTTTATTTGTCAACTTGTGTGTCCATTGTGTGGGTAACTATTTATGTAATCTATTTTTGAAAAGAAAAATAACTGTTTGGTAAGAATGTAAAATGAACTGTGTTGTTTGTATGTTTTAATGTAAATAGCTGCAAATAAAAAAAGTTGCAAACCAAAAGGCTTGGAAAACAAGCTTTTTGTAAGTCATCTTCCTTGTACCAAAAGCTCTCTCAAAAAGTTCTTTACCGAGCAATTGTAATAGAAGTTTGAACAAAGTCAAATCCTTCATGTAGCTAAAAAACTCTTTTTTAACAAAAAGCACCCCAAAAAGTTGGAATCCAAAAACCCCAGTGATATAGCATTCGTTTGATAG